TGGGCTGGGCACGCAATCAAGATGATCTCATTAGTTCCTTTTATAACAATCTGTTAACGAGGCCTCTCTGGCCTCCTTTTACAGAGGAGAGGTCGAGGCTCAGAGAAGCCCAGTCACCTGCCCGAGATCACTCAGTAGCAAGGGGAGAGATCTGGGCTCAGGACGGTTGGACGTCAAGGCTGAGACGGGTAAAGGATTCCTGGAGAAGGGGGGTGTCGCTTGGCACATCGCTGCCCCAACAGAGCGGCGCCTCCTTGGGGAGACATGGCTTGTGGGTTGAAATTCATTTCAACTTGCCCCAAGGCCTGCTACACACACCATACAGTTCGCCCGTTTAAAGTGTACAATTCCTTGCCCTGGCTGGTGTGGCTCAGTGGAGAGCGCCCGCAGGCCTGCGGACTGAAGGGTCCCAGGTTTGATTCTGGTCAAGGGCACAGGCCCAGGTTGCGGCTTGATCCCCAGTAGGGGGTGTGCAGGAGGCAGCTGATGCATGATTCTCTCTCATCATTGATGTTTCTCTCTCCCTTCCTCTCTGAAAGCAATAAAAATGTTTTTTTTTAAAAAGTGTACCATTGCGTGGTTTTAGTATATTTACAGATACCTACAACCACCACCACAGTCAATCTTGGGGCATTTGGCTCAAAGAGAACTCAGTACCCCTAGGTTTCACCCTCTCACCCCGCCACCCAGCATGTCCCTGCGCCCTCAGCAACCCCTGCTCGGGGCCAGCAGCCCAACCTACCTTAGCAGCGGCGGTCGGTCCTTCCAGGAGGGCGGGGCCCACTGCTGTCCGTGGCCCCCGCCTCAGCCCTGCACAGCCGGGCGCTGCGCCTGCGTGTCCACCCCGGGAAGGCAGCCTGTGGACAGCCACGCCCTGGTCACCACCAAGCTCGGCTTTCCCGCTATTTACCCGGAGGGCAGGCCACGCGCTTGGAGACCCGTGACCAGGGGCTGGTGACCTCGCACAGCTGCAGGGCTTTAGGACCTAGTCTAGGCGGTCCCTGTGGGACCCCCAGGCCGGCCGGGTCGCCGCGGGGTCGCGCTGGCTGTGGGTGGGGTGTGGGCACAGGGCCAGGGGAGGGCGGCTCAGACCTCCCAGTCGGGCCAGTCCCGCTCGAGCGGGCGCCCCGCGCTCCTCCCCAAAGCCCGCGCCCCGCCCCCGCGGGAGGGACGGGCCGGCGCAGCGGGCGGGGCGGGCGGCCGGGCGGGCGGGCGGCCGGGCGGGGCGGCGGGCGCAGGAATGCACGCCCCCCGCCGCGGCCCCGCCCCAGCATCCCGCTGCGATCCGGCTGCACCGCGGAGCCGGAGGGCGAGCGCCATGGCTGCGTCGAGCCCACCCCCGGTCGCGGAGCTGCTGGCCCAGGCCCGGGCGGCCTTCCGGGCGGAGTTCGGGGCCGAGCCCGAGCTGGCGGTGTCGGCGCCGGGCCGCGTCAACCTCATCGGGGAGCACACGGACTACAACCAGGGCCTGGTGCTGCCCATGGTGAGGGCTGCGAGGGGACCCGAGCCTCTCCTGGGTCCCGGCCGCCCCGTCGGGAAGGCGGGCCGGAGGGGCGCGGGGAGGCGCCTGGTCCCCGCGTGATCTGTGGGTCGGGCCGCGCCGAACTTCAGCTCCAGCGAGTTTGGGGGCCGAGCACGTGGGAGGGACCCTGGGACGGGACGTTTCTCACGTAGGAAGGGAGGAAGGGCGATCCGAGAGGAAGTAGCCGGGAGGGGGTGTGCCGAGCCTCTTCGCTCCAGCTCGCCCTCTGTGGACCTTCCCAGCAACCTGGGCACGTGGAAGGAGGTGCTTCCGACTCTGGCTTCCATGAGGCCCTGCAGACCCTGCGGGAGTAGCCCGAAGCCTCCAGCCTGGTCCCCTTACAGAGCGGACACAGGCCCAGAGAGGGCAGTGGTCTGCTCAAGGTCACACAGCTGGTGCTTGCTGGGGCTTCCACGGGACCCAGGAGGCCTCCCAGCTCTCAGCCAGGGGTTCTGTGCACCCCACCCCGCAGCTTGGCAAGTGAGTGGGTACAGCACACCTGAGGTTACCCCCAAATGGGAAGGCGGCGGATGGAGCTCCTGACTCTGTTTTCCTTTGGAGCTCGCGGCTCCCCTGTGCCCACAGCTGGGCGCCCACGTGGAGGGCAGAGTCCAGGTGTGCTCTCTGCGCTGGTCCCGCCCCTGAAAACCCAGGGGGCAGGGCCTAAGCCCCCAAGGCCAGCTCAGCGCTCAGGCTCTTCCGTGAGACACTGTTGATCCTTTCCTGTTGCGCCGGAGGCCGCGCTCCTGCCTGTCCCAGGACCCACATTCCTTGGGACTTTCGTATGAGAGGGGCCTCGTCCCTCCGTCCCTCCGTCCCTCCGTCAGCTGGCGGGAGCTTTGCGTACCCTCTGTGTCTCCTGCCAGGCGCTGGAGCTGGTGACCGTGATGGTGGGCAGCCGCCGGGCAGACGGCCTCGTCTCCCTCCTCACCACCTCTGAGGGTGCTGACGAACCCAGGCGGCTGCAGTTTCCCTTGCCCACAGCCCAGCGGTCCCTGGAGCCTGGGACCCCCCGATGGGCCAACTATGTCAAGGGAGTGATTCAGCACTACCCAGGTATGGGGCCCGGGCCTGGGTCAAGTTCAGCAGCCAAGAGCACCACCTCTCAGCCGTAAAACCCATTAGCGCACCTAGTCCACTGTGGGGTAGGCTTGCAGGATAGAGCATCCCATTGTACAGATGAAGAATCTGACACCCTGAGAGGGTCCAGACCTTGCCCTGGGTTGCCCAGTATCTGATTGGAAGAGTCAGGAGTCAAACCCTAACCTGTGGCCTCCGGAGCCCTAGACCAGGAGGACTGGGAAGACTGTGTCCCAGGAACCTCAGGGTGGAAGGATGGAGGGCCGTGGGCCCCTTGGCCCAGCAGGTTGGTGGCCTCTGACAATTGAGACCCATTCCTGGAAGCAGAGATACAGTACGTGCCTCCCTGTGCCCATCCTCCCAGACGGCGCCACTGACCCTCACCCATTGTTCCCCCCGCAGCCGCCCCCCTCCCTGGCTTCAGCGCGGTGGTGGTCAGCTCAGTGCCTCTGGGGGGTGGGCTGTCCAGCTCGGCCGCCCTGGAAGTGGCCACGTACACCTTCCTGCAGCAGCTCTGCCCAGGTACCTCCCAGAACCCAGCTCCCACCCAGCCCGCCTTCCCCGAGCTCTCCTGTGGTCGGCTTCTGTGGCTCTCAGAGGGGGTGGGAACCCACCTGCCCCTTGTGCCCCTTCTTGGGCCCCAGCCTTCCCATCTCACCCTGCGCCACAGACTCGGGGACAATAGCTGCCCGGGCCCAGGTGTGCCAGCGGGCCGAACACAGCTTCGCAGGGGTGCCCTGTGGCATTATGGACCAACTCATCTCTCTGCTGGCGCAGAGGGACCATGCGCTGCTCATCGACTGCAGGTTAGGGGCTCCCCTTGCAGCCCCCCACCTCTGGGCAGAGCACGTCCACTGTGGGGCCTGGCGGGCAGACACTTGGCCTTGTCATCTCCCCACTCCACCTGCCTCCCAGGTCCCTGGAGACACGCCTGGTGCCACTGTCAGACCCCAGGCTGGCTGTGCTCATCACCAACTCCAACGTCCGCCACTCACTGGGCTCCAGCGAGTACCCGCTGCGGCGCCGCCAGTGTGAGGAAGTGGCCCGGGCGTTGGGCAAGGAGAGCCTCCGGGAGGTGCAGGTGGAGGAGCTGGAGGGTGAGAGCTGGCCGGGTGCGGTCTGTCTTGGAGATAGCGGGGCCCCCTGCCGGGGCTGCTGGGGCCTCATCCCCAGGACCCCAGCCGTGCCTGCCCACTCCCCGAACACTGTTAACTTCGGGCTCCGACCCCAGCAGGGCTGCTTGCAATCTTAGTACCGTTGTTCCTAATGGGAGGACTGTAGACAAGGACAAAGAATAAGCACTAAGGCCACTACCCGGAGATAGTATATTTCCTCCCAGTGTTGGATATGAGCACCCACTGTGTGCCAGGCGCCCTGCCAGGAGCTCTGCAGGTGTCAGCCCACCTGGTCCTGGCGCCCCGAATCAGGTGGGTGCCCCACTAAACAGCTGAGGGGAGGCGCTGGGAGCTTAGTGGCCAGCCCACGGTTCTACCACGGCCTGGCCAGAGCCAGGCCTCCCACCGGAGGCTCCCCCACCCCCTGGGGCCATGGTGCCATCCCCCACGTCCGCACGGGCCCTCGCCAGTGGGTGGCGGGTCTGCTGACCCCGTTCCTCTCCAGCGGGCAGAGAGCTGGTGAGCAAGGAGGGCTTCCGGCGGGCGCGGCACGTCGTGGGGGAGATCAGGCGCACGGCCCAGGCAGCGGCTGCCCTCAGCCGGGGCGACTACAGAGCCTTCGGCCGCCTCATGGTGGAGAGCCACCACTCCCTCAGGTGAGGCCCTCGGGCACCGGGCACCGGGCACACCGGCTGTCCCCCGGGCCGCGTGGGGCTGGTCCCAGGCCCGCCTGCATCTCCTCTGCAGGGATGACTACGAGGTGAGCTGCCCGGAGCTGGACCAGCTGGTGCGGGCCGCGCTGTCTGCGCCCGGGGTTTATGGCAGCCGCATGACGGGCGGCGGCTTTGGCGGCTGCACGGTGACTTTGCTCGAGGCTTCCGCTGCTCCCCAAGCCATGCAGCACATCCAGGTGGGTGGACGCTGGGGCCGGGGCGAGGCGGGAAGCAGGTTCCCAGGGCCCCGCCGAGCTCAGGCCTCTGCCTCTCCCACAGGCGCAGTATAGCGGTACCGCCACCTTCTACCTCTCCCAGGCCGCCGACGGTGCCCAGGTGCTGCCCTTGTGAGCTCCCCTGGGGTGGCCCACGCGGGCAGGGGCCTGCCGGGCAGCAAGCAGGAAGCTCCGTGCCGCTGGCGCCTGCCCTCCGCACCTGAGCGCTCAATAAACTTGTGCCTCAGACCACAGTACCTCTAGAGGTGGTGTGTGCTTGGCCAGCAGAGAGGGGGGTGTTGGACCCGCTCCCCGGCTCTGGGCAGGCCCCGGAAGACTGGGCAGGGCGGAGCCACACGGTAGCAAACTCTTTTATTAAGTGCAGAACAAAGCTGGGTGCTTGTCATGCTGGTCCCGGCTCTTTGGTTACAAATGCGCTTGGGTGGGATGGGGGTGGGGCAGCCAGAAGGGCCTTCTGGGACCTCTGCCTCCTACATGCCCCCCAGAGGGCACCTACCCCCAGAGGCACTGGTCCTGTGATCAGCATGCGGGTGGGTGGGGCCACCAGGGGTCCAAGGATGGTGTAGCTGGGGCAGCACCGGGGAGGGGGGCGGGCAGTGGGGGCCCAGGTTCAAGGACGCCTGGTCGCGGCGGGGAGCTCAGGTCTGGAAGAACTGCTGGTCGACCTGGCTGCTGAGGGTCCCACTGGTGGTCAGCGTCTGGCTCACAAACTCCTGGGTCACATGCCGGGTGAGGGAGCCGCCTGCCTCCAGACCCCGGGGCCCCAGGGTCAGTCCGTCTGCAGGGGAAGAGGTTTTGAGCGACCTGTCTAGCTCCCTGCCCTCTTTGTCTGTTAGCTCTGTCTCCCCCAGGAGAGCCTGGGGCCCCCACCCGGCCACTCACCCAGCAGGAAGGGCTCGGCGGTGCCGGTGTGGGTGGTGGTGATGCTGCTGTACTCGCCTGGCAGTGGGTGCTGGTAGAGCCCCGAGAGGCCACCCAGCTGTGGGAAGGGGCCTGGAGTGGACAGACGAGCCCCTCAGGGGATGGTGCCACAAGGTGCGGTCAGAGAAAGGATGGGGGTGCGAAGGGACAAGGTGCCCTACCTCCGTCCTGGGACTCAATGGTGATGATACCCTCACGCTCCGGCCCGAAGCCCTGAGTGGTCCTGGCCTGCACCTTGAACTTGTAGGGCACGTTCTCCCGAAGGCCTGGCACCGTCAGCCTGCTCTCAGTGCTGTCGCCATCCACCTGGAATGTAATGGCTGGCTCTGGGCCGGGGAGAAGCCTTTAGCCTCCGTGGCTCCCTCTCCACCATCCCTTGGCCACCCTTGACCCTGGGGCGGGCAGCACCTCCTCCGTGGGCCATCTCACACGTGACCATGTAGCCCAGGATGTCTCCGTCAGGCCTGCGCGGCCGCTCCCAGCTCAGCTGCAGCGAGTCTGGGCTCAGGGCCGTGAACACCAGTGGGCCCGGGGCGCTGGGCGTGCTCAGGGTGAAGGCGGAGCCTGGGGCAGCAGAGGGAGAGGTGAAGTGTGGATCTAGCACATCTGTAGAAGCAGGTATGGAGGAGGGGGCAGCCGAGGGGGGGGGATGGAGGGGGAGCAGCTCACCTGGCAGGGGTAACAGCGGGCTCTGAGGGTGCACCTGCGACTCAATGGTGATGACACCCTCGCGCTCCGGGCCCCAGCCTTCCTGGCTCTGGGCCCGCACGCGGAACACATAGGAGTGGTTGGGCAGAAGGTCTTCCACCACCACGGAAGTCTGCCCGGGGTTGGGGATGTTGATCCGATACAGCTCACCTGGAGTGGGGTGGGGTGGGAGCAGCTTTATTCCTATTCCTGGCCTGGTCCTCCCCCCGGGCTGCTGCCAAGACCTGGCCAGCATCCACCCCGGAGCAGCTGGTTGGGGCCAGCCTGCTATGGTCTCATGGGTCAGGTTGCCACCACACAAGGAAAGAGGGGGCCTGAACTCCTATGGTCCAGGTCGTGCTGCTGGGAATTTGTCGGTTCCCACAAAGGCATCTAGGCCAGCAGAGGGCCTGGGTTCTGGGGCCAATGAGGCCTCGTTAGGCAACATCTTGCCCCGGGAGTAACCTGGGGAGCCCCCGGGAAGTGGTTGAGGGCCCAGAAGGGCACCGTGCGGGGCATGGAAGTGAGACCCTCTCAGGCTGGGTGGTGGGTTCCAGCCACAGCCGAGTGCCCCTGGTGTCACATGTGGCCGGGCCTCACCGCCGTTCAGCAGCTGGTACTCCACGCTGTAGCCCTGCAGCGCCCGCTCGCACTGCGGCTCTTGCCAGCTCACTTTCAGAGACGTGGGCCCCAGGGCTGAGAACACCAGACGGGTGGGGGTGTTGGGCAAACCTGCGGCCAAGCGGGAACCTGGAGACAGGAGGCCACAGTCAGCCCGGCTCAGGGTCCCTGGGCAGGAGTCCAAGTTCAGCTCCTGACCTCCCTCAGCTGTCGCACCTACGTGACTGCTGGCCAGGTGGCTCGCTCACCCGGCCACAGCCTGTCCAGGCCACCCAGCACCTCCCGCCTGTCCTCAGGGTGGGTGTGGGCCCTGCCTGTGCCAAGCGCCGTGAGCCCCCACCCTCGGCTGGCCTGGCCCGTCCTGCCCCAGCCCGGCACCCCTGGGAAGGCGAGGCGGTTAGGCATCAGCGCTGATGAGGATGGAGTGGAGGGGATGCAGGGTCATGGGCAGTGACTGCAATGGCGTGGATGACAGATGGAGCAGGACAGCCGTGGAGACATGATGGCCACGCTGGACTACCTGGGTCCCAAGGGGGCGCTGCTGGCTGCGCAGCCAGGATTATAGAGTCTGGTGAGTCCCTGGAAGGGGGGAACCCCTTCATCTGAGCCCGACTCCAGGACCCCAAGGTCCAAGACAGCGGAAGCCTGCTCCTCCCGTCTTCCCAGATGGGAGGGAGGCCTAGGGTGGGACAAAACAGGAGTGAGGGGGCAGGAAGTATGTGTGTGTTGGAGGATGGGCGGGGGGACAGCAGGCCGGCAGCCCAAACCTCCAGGAGCCGGAAGAAAGGAGGGGTCAGCCCGGCCGGCGTGGCTCAGTGGTTGAGCATCAACCTATGAACCAGGAGGTCATGGTTTGATTCCCAGTCAGGGCACGTGCCCAGGTTGCGGGCTTGATTCCCAATGTGGGGTGTGCAGGAGGCAGCCGATCAATGATTCTCTCTCATCATTGATGTTTCTATCTCTTTCTCCCTCTCCTTCTCTAAGGTCAATTTAAAATTTTTTTTAAATTTAAAATAAAATATTAAAAAAGAAAGAAAGACAGGAGGGGTCAGCGGGAGAGGCAGGGCTGGCGGTGCACTCACTCTGCGAGGAGAGGGAGGTGAGGGTGGAGTAGTCCCTGGGCAGCGTGCCCGAGTGCTCCGTGCGGGTCAGCGAGTGGTAGTCCCTGGTGAGGGTGGAGGAGGTGCTCAGCACGCGGTGGGGCAGGTGCGGGCTCAGGTGGGTGCCGTAGGAGGCGTTGGTCGTGGCCATCCTGTGCAGGGAGTTGGCGCTGCCCGGGAAGGCAAAGTCCATCCGTCCATTGACCAGGTGCTCTGCAGGGGAGAACAGGGTCACCGGGGCAGGCCAGCACCGGGGAGCCCTGGGCGTTCCGGGACTGCCTGTCCACTAGAGGCCCCCCTTGGCCCACGAGGGACAGAGGCCCGGTGTCCCTGGAGGAGTCCAAGGGGCCACACGGGCTTCTGCAGCCCGCGTTCTCCGGCCAGGCACCCGGCCAGGCACCGTGCCACTAGGACAGGCTGAGCCCCGCTGACCCAGTGGAGCCGCGCTGCCCAAATGCCTGCCCTAGGGGTGCTCCGGCTCCCGGGGGAGGGGGAGGACGGTCTGCCTCCAGCCCTCGCTCAGCCCCTGGCAGGGGCAGGGCCTTGGCCTTGGTGGGCAGCCTGGCCGCAGCGAGCCCAGGTGGGTGCGGGGTCGGGCTGGCCGGTCACCTCCGCCCTCCCCCACGGCTCCCCCAGCGCCCCCTTCGGCGCTGTCGTCCGGGGGCCCGCGGGGCAGCTCGGTGGCGTCGGAGGACCGCCCGCTGCTGGCGGACAGGCGCGGGATGACCTCCGGGGGCAGCCGCCACGTGACGCGCCGCAGGTCCAGCTCCTCCCCCAGCAGGGCCTCGAACTTCCAGCGGCCGCCTTGGGAACAACGAAGGGCGCGTTGGCACCGCCGGCGGCGCGGGAGGGTGCGGGCGGCGGAGCGGTCCTCGGGCTCTTTGGGATCCAGGTGGGGGTGGGAGGGGGTGCACGGCAGGGACGGGGCGCCAGGCGCAGGCCCTGCGATGCGCCAGTGCAGCCTGGGGGGCAGCGGGTAAGGAGAGACCCCTCGGCCAGCCCGAGACAGGGGAAGCCCTGGCTTTGTCACCAGCTGTGAGGGCTCCCTGCTCTGAGCCTCAGTTTCCCTTCTGTATAATGGAGAGAGCGACAGTTCCCGAAGCCGAAATGTTGGGGGGGAGGGTCAGTAGCAGTTGAACTGGGGCTCCTCTTGCCCCCAGACCCTGAGCCCTCTCAAGACGCCCAGGCTGAGTTCCTTAAGCCCAAGCTCTGCCTGATCAGGGCAGGAATGTGGTCCCTGGGGCCTGAGGCATAGACAGGGATGAAAAAAAATACAGTCCTGGAGGATTTGCACTCGTGGCATTGTGTGAGGGCACCCCATTGCACAGATCAGAAAACTGAGGCACAGAGACCGTAAGTGATTTATCTGAATCCCTGCAGTGGAGCCAGAAGCTCAAACTGTGTAGCTGGGGATCCCAGCTGAGGGCTCTGCACCGCAGTAGGAACAGGGCAAGTGGCTGCCCACGCCTCCTGGCCACGCCTGCCTCCTCCCTCACCGCCCTGCCCCTGGGAGGCCGCCCGGGGGTCCTGACCCCATGGCACAGCTGGTGAGCCTTTCAGCAGCAAAGCTGTGTTTCCGTGTGGTCCCGCGGGCGTGAGTCGAGCACGTCTGCCCCAGCAGGTGTCTCCCTGTCTCATGCACAGACGTGCACGTGTTTGCTCCTGTGCCGGTGGGCTTGTCCCTGTCAAACTATTGACCTGAGAGAGTTTGACTTCATGCCCAGAGGTCACGGGCCCCTTTGTTCTCTCTGGACACTAGTGACGGCCCCACCCTCTACCCAGGACCCCCACCTTCCTCTCGGGGATCCTACTCACCTGTGTCGTCGGAGACACTGGGCCTCTGGCTGCCCGATGGGGAGCGGAGGACGTCGTCGCTGTACATGAGGAAGCCCTCATAGTCTTCCCCGCCCTGTGCGTCCACGATGGGGATGTCGGGGATGATGGGGACTGCAGGGGAGGGAGGGTGAGCCAGAGCCCCGTCTCGGCCTCCTGCGCCCCCCGTCTTCCCCCGCCTCCCGTCCCCCACTCACTGGACATGGGCCGCTTGGGCTGGGTGGCCAGGTTGATGATGGCCTCCCGCTCGGGCCCCCAGCCCGCCCCGTTGCGCGCCTTCACCGTGTAACGGTAGGGCTGGGACTCCCGCAGGTTCTCAATGAGCAGCATCCGCTTCTTGGGGGTGTCCACCAGCACCTTCTTCATGGGCCCGATGGGTCCTGGGCGGGGAGAGTGCTTCAGAGGGGTCGCCTAGGTCCCGCCTGGCCCCCGCCTGCCTCTGACACCGCAGGACAGGAACGGCACCCGGGGGGGCTCCGGGACAGGCAGGGAGTGAGCAGTACTGAACCCCTGCGGGTGCCAACCCCTGAGCACCAGGTGTGACTGTCGCCAACTCCAAAGGGCTCATCACTAAGCTAAGTGGCAGCATCAGGTCTAGACTCAGGGTGGCCCCAGTGTCACCTCTACTAATTGGTCAAGGCTCCTGGGAGACCAGCCAACATCTCAGTTTCCAACAAGGTCCAAAGGAGGTTGTGGAAAATGACACCTCATACCCTTGGTGTCCACCCCCAGCCAAGGACTAGGCTCAAAGGACTATGACGAAGACCCGTCAGCCTGGGGGGGCGGGGGCGGGGGGGGGTCTCTAACTCCAGGGCCCAGCCCCTTGCCTCCTCTCAGCTGGTGGGAGCAGGGGAGAGGGCACCATGTGCTGATGCCCTCGGGCTGGGCCCCACATTCAAGCTGAAGCGTGCGCTGAAACCCCCCGCCAGGAGCTTCTGTCGGGGTGCCTGTCACCCCTGGGATGAGAGGCAGGGTCAGAGGCGACCTCCTGACCTGGACTAAGTGCTGTGAGCTCAGAATGAGCCAAGGACGTGACGCGGATGCTGAGGAGGTGGTGCGAGGTGTGCCTGGCTGGCAGAGCCACGAGCCCGCTGCCCAGCACCACCAACCCCGCTGCCCTCTGCCCAGTGGGCCACCCAGGCGGCTGAGCCTGACCCACGCAGGGGCCACAGGTCAGAGGGGGTGGCGAGCTCTCCATCCTGGGACTGACCACCCCGAGGCGAGGAGGAGGTCCCCGTACCAGGTGAGGGTTTGGACCAACTTCCTCCAATACTTTCGCATCGAAGATTGGCAGGGATCGCCCACACTTGCCTCCCTTCCCAGACTGGCTCTGCCAGGTGCCCCGGCCTAGGGCCGCCAGAAACGTGGCGTGAAATGTAGTAAAAAACTTTTATCGGAAATTCAAGGTGTCCTCTGTTGTTATTTGCTAAGTCTGGCAACTCGACTCTGCCCCCAAGAGAATGGTGTAAAAACTAGCCGCTCTGGTTACCTGTACGGGAAGGCCCCCTGCCTGTGAGCCCAGGGCACCTGTGTAACCTCCGGCCTTCCAGTCCCGGAAGCTTCTGGGCCTGACCTTTGAATGCAACTGGCCTGAACCAGACCATAAACTGAATGACGCCTCAGGCGACCAGATGTCGGGGCTCATCCACTGAGCAGGACAATGTGGCCTCCCTCCCACTCTCGGCCCCTCCCCTTCCACGGCTGCCACCCCGGGGGCGGAAGGAGGGGGCGGAGGAGGGGCCTTACGGTTGTCCTCGTTGACCAGGCCGTAGCAGACCTCGTAGGCCGTGATCTCGCCGTTGGTCTCGGAGGGCTCAGCCCAGCTCAGCTGGGTCACCGTGGAGGAGACGACGTTGAAAGCCAGACGCCCTGGCTCGTTGGGTACTGGGGGGGTGGGGGGGGGCAGGAAGAGAGCCGTCAGTGGCAGAAGAGGGCGGAGATCTGAGACGTAGGGGGCAGGGCTGGGCAGACAGGCTTCAGGGTATCACAGGGATGGACGGCTGGTCGTGGCGAGGCCTCACCTTCCTGGTGGGTGCGGCAGGACACCAGGGAGCTGTAGGGGCCGTCGCCCTGCGTGCCGAAGGCGCACACCTTCATCTCGTAGTCGCAGTACGGGTACAGGTTGGTGAGCTCCACCGAGGGCACCTTGCTCTCCAGCACGTGGGCTTCCGAGTCGGAGTCCCCCTGGATCCAGTACCTCACCTGCTCCGGGGAGGGGCTGGTCAGTGGGGAGGTGCGAGTGCCAAGCAGCTGGGACCTCCATTGACCTGCCCTACTGTCCCCTTGGCACACGTCAGACACCAAGGATCGGAGAGATTGAGTGACCTGCCGGGTTCACACAGCAGGGCTGGGGGAGGGGGGGCGCCTGGGGGACGGAGGGGCCATGTTCCAGGAAGGAGGGAAAATATCTGAAAGCTCCCTGGGCACAGAGGCTCCGCCCACTGGGGCCAACATGCCCTCGCTCACCCTCATGGCCCTCTGGCCCTGGGAAGCCACCTCCCCATCCACCTCCCTCATCGGCCCTCTGCCTTACCCTGTACCCTGTTGGTTTGCCAGGAGGGGGCAGCCAGTTGAAGTGGATCTTCCGAGAGCCGGCGGCTTTGGCGTTGGGGTTCTGTGGGGCGCCAAGGACGCTGTGGGAGACTGGGAATGCAGACTGGGTCTGGTTCTGGAAGGTCAGGTCCAGTTCGTCTGTAGTGGGTGAAGCCAGGGCAGGGCAGCCAGTTGGGATATCCCCTCACACAGCAGGAACTCACTCTCACCACCAGGGGGCGCACGAGGCCCAGTGCAACACCCAGCTGTGATGGACTGACACCTGCCCTGCAGTCTCCCTCCACCGGTGCCCCCACGGGGCCGCAGGGGGCATCCTGCCAAGCTGGGTGGAGGACCCAGGAGGGTCTTTGGCGAAAGGAGGAGGAGGAGGGAGATCGTCTGGCAGCCAAGGGAATGGTTCCCATGAGGACATCTGCTCCTCCTCCCAAGAACCCTCTCTCCGCTCCCATTTTCCCCACAAGCGCCTCTGGAATTGTTAAATACCAGGAGGCTGAGGACCCAGCAGAACTAACCCTTTCACCCCTAAAGCGGAAGTCAGAGGGCCTAATCCTGGGGTTCACGGTGAGCATCGGGGGCCAGATAAAATGCAGGAGCCTGGACACATTCGAATTTCAGAGAAGCAACCAGTGCTTTCCTCAGGGTAGGACTATCCTAAACGCTGCAGGGGACAGACTGAGGCTCTGAAGTGGAAGTGTGGCTGGGCGCCCTGTGTTTTTGCTCGCCGAGACCGGCAGCCTTCGTGGAGAGAGCCCCGGCCTCCCCTCACCGCCTGCGTAAACGGACCCCAGGCTCTGCCCACCTCGGTCCCCGATGACGACCGTGGCCGAGTGGGGCTGGCCCAGGCGTGCCCCGAACTTGGGGTTGCTGAGTTGGATGTGGAAGCGGCGGACCTGGCGGCTCCGCAGGAGCGAGTCCACCTCCTGCAGCTCCAGGAGCTTCACCTGCAGCTCCTTCCAGGTCTCCCCGGGCTGGAACAGCAGCTCGCCCTCCGCGGGGATGTAGTCCTGGGAGTGGGAAAGGGGTCAGACCGGCCACACCCCCACCCCGACCTCAGGGACACCGCGGCCCATCACACACAGGCTGTCCCACGTGGACATACGTGGCTCGGTTCATAGGGCACCTCCTGTGCGCCGCTGGACAAATATTAGCTCATTTCATCCTCAGCAGCGTGAGGTAGAGAGAGAGTACTGTCCCCATTTTATAGAGGAGGGACTGAGGCCCACAGAGGGGCAGAAACGTGCCCAAGTTCACACAGGCAGTTGTGGGGGAGCCAGGATTTGAACCAAGGCATAGGGACAGGGATGCACCGCAGATCCGAGCCCCCCAGAGGCAGGCGCTCATCCCGCGGAGCCGGGATTTCAGGTCCCCCACACTGTGGCTCTGAGGTCTAGGACCCTGCCAGCCCCCCGGCCCTGCCTGCTGGGTGGGGCGCCTCTATCAGCTCCCGCTTCCCACCCCCAGTGCCCCAGAGCTTCCCTGAGCGCCCCACGTGTGCGCCGTGAGTCAATCAACGGAAACGGTGGGGCGGCAATGCTCACATCGGACCACTAGGTGGCGCTCCGAAACCAACATTTCAATTCCAGGCACAGCCGGTCAGGCCCACCGTGCCCACCAGGCACATCCAAGTGCAACAAAACCCAGGGAGTGTAGGAAAAGCTGGAGTCGCCGGCAAGTCAGTTGACCTGGGCTGGCGGGGAACACAGAGCTGGGAAGTGCTCTGGATTAAAGGGGCCTGAAGACTCACGGCCTCGGCCGCTGCCCGCTCTCCGCCTCCTGGAGTGGGAGAGGCAATCACGGACGCACTGGGCCTCGTGAGCTCAGGGAGCTCCGAATACGGACTAATTATTAGGTGCGAGATGATGGGAAGTTTCTTAAGTGGTAATTAGGTTGTAGCTCTGCAGAAGGAATGGCAGGTGCTGCAGGCGTATTTAGGGCCCCATGAAACCTACAGTTGTGGAGGGTTCAGCACATAGAGCTAAGCCAAATCCTCTCTCCCTCCTCCCTACAGTCATACAGATGTGGAACTGTACCTACATCTGTATCCACATCATGCATGGGTACCTAGATCTGTACAGAAAGAGAAAGCAGATAGCAACAGCTGGTGGATCTATCTAAAGGGCACACATATGCTAATTTTATTAGTCTTTCCATTTTTCAGTAGGTTTGACGTTTTTCAAAATAAAAAGATGGGAAATAATAATAAAAAAATTTTGAATTGCTAAATACCAAAAGCATTTTTATAAAAGCCTAACAGGACAGCTGGAATCTCTTGTATATTACGGCCTATCCCGTGAAATTTCTGGACATACAAATTCTCCTTTGGAATTTTTATTGGGAGCATTGAATCAGGAATGAAAACCATTCCTCCCGATAAAAAGATTTGGGTGTGGCCGGGCTGCCGGACCCGCTGAGTGCATTCTCCCTGCCTTTGCCAAGTGGCCCTGTGGGCCCAGTAAGACTAGATTTTGTTTTTTGAGTTAATTTTTGATTGGAATATTTTTAGTTTTTAAATGTTGGCAGTAAACTCAGAAACACAAACAAACAAACCTGCAAGTCAAACCATGCTCATCCACCTACAGGCGTCCAGGGACCCAGGCAGCCACCATGCCCACCCCCCACCCCACCCCCCCCACACCCCCACGTGCCCTCAGCCCCAGGGCGGGGCTTACCCGGTTGCCCTGTGCCGTGTTGTCCTGTGTGCGGTAGGAGACCTGGGACTTGCCGTTGTCCAGGATGCGCCGGACGACGGGAATGCGGGCCACTTGCTCCCCGCCGCTGACCAGGTACTCAGGCTGCTCAAAGGACACTATCCCGTTGGCTGCAAGGGGCCGGGCAGAGTTAGAGGGTCCAAACCTCAGGCCCCTCTCCACTCCCCCGCCCGCCGGCCCCACCCAGCCCAGACTCCAGGAGGCTGCCTGTCACCCCGCACCCCACCACTCTCTGGGGAGGGCCGAGGAAAGGGATGGGCCATTTTTCCAGAAAAAGTTGAAGGGGCTGGGACAGTGTCCAACAGACATCCTGGAGGGGCCGGGGCAGAGAAAGGAGGCCGGGTGGAGGCACAACGGAGGGGAGGCCCTGAGTCCAAGGAGCAGGGAGGGGGGCAGCTTGGGTGTCCGTGATGCGAAGCCTTGCCCACCCTCTAGATTGGCCTGGGCACAGGGGGCCCACTCCTTCCTGCTCGGATGGCCTGGCATTTCAGGGAGGTCCAGGCCACGGCCTGGTTCAGAGGCCGGAGGGGAGGGAGCAGGGGAGGGATGTGGGATGGCTCCAGGCGGACCCAGCACCGTGAGTGAGTGTAATGGAAGCTCCGCGCGGAGCTGTGCAGCCACACGCTCCGTGTAAAAGCCCGAAGCCCATTTTACAGATGGCGAAACCAAGGCTCACAGAGGTTAAGTGAGCTGCCCAGGCCACACAGCCAGGACCCACTCCCACTCGAATACAAGGGCCCCAGCTCCCGTTCTTATTTTATTTTTTATTGATTTCAGAGAAGAAGGGAGAGGGAGAGAGAGAAACATCAATGATGAGAGAGAATCATTGATCGGCTGCCTCCTGCATGCCCCCCACTGGGGATCGAGCCTTCAACCCAGGCCTGTGCCCTTGATCGGAATCGAACTCGGGACCCTTCAGTCCACAGGCCGACGCTCTATCCACTGAGCCACACCAGCTAGGGCCCCAGGCTCCCCTTTTCCTCCTTGCTCCCCCCATGCTGACTGACCTTGCTCCCCCCACGCTGACCGACCTTGCTCCTTGATGATGGTGATGTTCACCAGGCGGCGGCCGAGGGTGGCGGTGCCCATGGGCACATTGAGGGCCTCCACCAGCAGCTGCTTCTCATCGTCGTCCTCCGGCCGGATGAAGAGGGGCACCCGGACGTCCACCAGCTCCACGCCCTCCTGGAACTCCACCATGCCCCGGGCGTCTGGGGGGGGTGGGGGCGGTCAGAGGTGGGGCCACACGGGGTGGGAGGTGACACTGAGCCGCGGGGGGTGGGGGGGCGCTGCCCGCTTACCCTGGTCCGCAGTGAGGGTGTAGTACCCCGGGGCCACCTTGAGCTCGTGGAAGGCCCGCTGCGCCACCTGCTTCTCCGTCAGCTTCAGCAGGGCCTGCTTGGCCGAGCGGGGAGCCATCAGCACCGTGTCCACAATGGTGTGGTCCTGCCTGGGGGAGGGGTCAGGCGGAAAGGGGTCAGGCTGGCCAGGAGGTGGCTCTTGTCCCTGTCATCAAGGGGCAAGATGTGGGGCAGCAAAACAGTGCAGGTTCTTCAGAACCAGGCCCATGCTGGCCCCACCCCGCACCCCGCAGCCTCAGCCGAGCCCTGTGCCTCCCCGAGCCTCGGTGACCTCCTCTGTGAAATGGGCTCTTCTCGCCCAGGAGATGCAGGCAGCAACGACGCTGAGGGTGTAGGCGCTAAAGCCTGGGTTCGAATCCTGACCCTATTTCCTTCCTTCCTTCTTTCTTTTTTTTTCAATCCTCATTCGAGGATATTTTTCCACTGATTTTTAGAGAGAGTGGAAGAGAGAGGGAAAGACAGAGAGAAATATCGATGTAAGAGAAGCACATCGATTGCCTCCTGTACGCGCCCTGACCAGGGCCCAGGCTAGGAAGGAGCCTGCAACCGAGGTACGTGCCCTTGACCGGAATCGAACCTGGGACCCTTTGGTCTGCAGGCCGATGATCTATCCACTGGGCCAAACTGGCTAGGGCCTGGCCCTATTTCTTAACAGCCAGGTAACCTCAGGCAAGTTACTGAACCTCTTTTAGCCTCGGTTTGCAGGGGGCCACCCTGGTCCTGAGTGGACCCCTTGGTCTACCTGTCTGTACAGGGCTGGCTCATAGTAGGGCTCATGTCAATATTTCTCGAATGAAGGTCCTACCGCATGACAGACATACGGGATGGAAATGGGGCGGGGGGTGGGGCTATTCCACCCGAGTCTTCAACTCACTTTTTCCCGGCGTTGGGCTGCTGCCTGTGGGAACAAGAGGGGACGTGAGCCAGGTGGGCTTGGGGCAGCTCCCGCCCCCACCCCACGTACCCAGGGCAGGACGCACCGGAACTTGGTCTGCTGGAGCTTGTGCGAGCCTGCGATCTGTCTGTACACCTCGTTCAGCTGCCAGGCAAGGGCGGGCATGAGGCTGGGGCCCCGGGGCACACAGTTCCCAGAGGACCTGCCCGGGCTGGCTGCCCCCCCCCCCCCCCCGTGGGCACGCCCATGGCCTCATCCCTGCCAGGAACCGCTCAGAGGGAACAGGTCCCAGGAGACTCCACTCCAGGCGCATGTCCAAGGAGGCCCCTGTCCCACGGGAACATCCAGGTCCCACGGCGCTTGCCCAGCGCTCTCCCCCCACCAGGTCGCGCCCAGGCCCGGAGCGGCCGCTGCCCTTACGTTCTCCTCCACCTCCTGGCGCAGCTGGCCACATTCCCGGGTGTCAGGCTTCAGCAGGTTCTCGGTGCAGAGGCGGGCGAGGCGCAGGGACAGCCCGTAGGGCACTGGGGGCGAGAGGGAGGAGCCGTTAGCTCCCTGCACGGCGGGCACCACGGCAGCCCCCAACTGGCTGGCTGGCGGCCGGAGCCTGTAGCGCCATCGCGAAGGGCAGAAGGTGGCCAGGCCCGTGCCCGCACCCAACACTCAGAGAAACGGGAATGGCGGGATCCTGGACCCGGAACGGCAGTGAACGCGCCCCCGGCGCCAAGGCCACCGCCAAGAGCGCCGCACCCAGCCCGGGCCCTCACCCAGCTCCGTGGGGTTGGTGCTGGCAGCGTGGGTGGCAAAGCCCGGCCGCTGCACGTTGTTGGTGACCTTCCAGCGGACCCTGTCGATGCCCTTGAAGTTGCCGTTGCGCAGCATGGGCGTGTCCAGGTGGTCCGAGGCCATCAGGCTCTCCCGCAGCATGTAGTGGTCCTCCTTGAAGCCCACGATGTGGCCTTCGGGACAGGCTCCGGCGTGAGGCCCCTCGCCTGGTCCCCCCCCCCCCTCAGGTGCCGCCCAGGGCCTCCCTCCCCTGTTCCGGACTCGGCCCTTTCCCCCCCACCCCCCTCCCCGCTGGGCAAAGAGTGGTCAGAGCCCCCCCGCCGCCCCTGTTGACGCCAGGCCCGTACCTCGGTTGCAGCAGGGGAGAAGGGCCAGGCAGGCCTAGGGGACAAGGGGTAGGGATGAGGGCTGGGATAGCGGCCAGCCAGTCAACCCCTCTGGCCACTGCCCCACCCTCCCGCAGCCGTGGTCCAGAGGGCCACAGTGCCTCCCCCAGACCCCGGGATAGCGGCAGGGATCTAGAGCCTCTGTGTGGGGCACAGAGGGTGGTACAGAGGGTGATGGGGCAGAGAGTTCCCAAAGTGTGTGCCAGGGGACCCCGGCCTTGCAAGATCCTCTGTAAAGTAAAGGCTCTATAATCAAACCCATTTGGGAGGCACTGAGTTCATTCCCCTCTTATGGTTTCACTCTGCATCCAGTGGACCAAAGGCGCTGAGGAGTCCTGCAGGGTCCTGAGAGCTCAGACGTGTTTGGTCACAGAACTCTCTCTCTGTAACTCACACTAATACCCCACAGCCCTGGAGGTTCCTACGGAGGGTTGCCTCTGCCCCAACAGCCCAGTCTCCCGGGCTGTGCCGCCCTCCACGCTTTCCTGCCTCTTGTCTGTTGTCGCAATGCGACTGCCAGCTCCCGGTGGGAGGGCTGTGGGCTCCCGGACCCTTTGCAGGTGGCTGACCCCAGGGCAGGTGCTCCCAGACATCCAGGCGCTGATGTGGGCAGAGCCGAGGGACTGGGGGCGGGGTGGGGGAGGGCACGAGAGCTGGGCAGAAGATGTGGCTTCCCCTGGCCTCTGACAGCTACGACGACCCTGGGGCGGGGGGGACTGGTGGGGACCCGGGGCGGGGGGGGGGGGGTCACCTTGCAGCAGGCACAGTACTTCCAGCAGAGCAGCAGCAGCAGCGCCAGGAGCAGCAGGAGGAAGATGAGCAGGGGGATGAGCCACCAGAAGGAGCCGGGAGGGCAGTCTAGGAGGAGGAGGAAGGTGGTGCTCATCCCTGGACGCGGTCTGACGGGCCCCCCACCCCCGGCGGCCGGGCGCCAGCTCACCCTTCTTCCTGTGCACCAGGACGGTGCTGTTGGGCCCGGGCGTGCCATCGCCCTCCACGGTGTAGCTGTAGTTACAGTCGTCCTCCTCGTCCCGGAAGGAGCAGTGCTCCACCACCTCCTCCGCTGCACCCACAGGCAGTCAGCAGGCACCCCTCGGCCTCCAGGGCCCGCCCCCCCCCCCAGGGCCCCCGCCCCCCGGGCCAGAGGGATCTTCCTGGGGAAGAACTCCAGTTCCTTCACAGAGATGGGGCCCTGCCCTGACCAGGAGCATCAAAGTCTGCAAATCTGCACCCCCACCTCCCCATCCGGAGCCTCCCCTGGGGGCTGGGCTTCTGGGAATGTGTCTGACCCAGAGGAGAGGGCGCTGTGGCCCCGCATGGCCTGGTACGCGCCCCTGCTGTGCTCACGCCCCTGCCCAAGCCGGTGCCCCCTCCCCACACTCTTGGTCCCTAATCAGCTGTGCCCGTGGCCCGGGTCTATGTGCCTCCTGCCTGGATGCCGTGACCCCTCCCAGGTCTGGAGCCCTTATCTGGACTGGGCAGCCTCAGCCTCAGTTTTATATATATATTTAAATATATTCTAATTGCTTCCCGAGAGGAAGGGAGAGGGAGAGAGAGAAACGTCAATGATGAGAGAGAAGCATTGATTGGCCACCTCCTGCACGCCCCACACGGGGGATCGAGCTCGCAACCAGGGCATGTGCCCTTGACCGGAATCGAACCTGGGACCCTTCAAGGCCACAGGTGACGCTCTATCCACTGAGCCAAACCAGCTAGGGCTGCGCAGCCTCCATTTAGATTAGGAGGCCTCTGCCTAGCTCGGTACCCCTGTCCAGATAAGTGACACCTCCTACCCCACTGAAGGCCTCGGCCTAGGCTCTCGGCACCCCCGATCCTCGGCCCCTGCCCCTTACCGTTCTTCAGCTCATCCACCATCTTGACCTTGAAGCTGCACTCCTCGCAGGTGCGCCCCCTCTTCTCACCCGTGCCCCAGGCCTGGCACTGCACGCAGGAGCGCAGGTCCTCACAGAGGCCCAGGCGGACCTGGTGGGAGGGAGGGGCCGGTGAACACTGTGCCGGGCAGGCCTCTGCCGGGCCCCCTCCTCCAGCCTCGCACCCTCGCCCGGCTCCCACAGCACCAGGCTCAGCCCCTCCTGCCCAACCCTGCCCTGTGCCCAGGGTCCCCACACCCACCCCCCAGCCATCCTGGCCTCACCGCCGAGTAGTTGATCTCGCAGGTGGTGTCTGTGTAGAGGGACCCCTGGTCGCAGTGGCACCGGCCACACTCGCAGCGGCCACGCCCATTGCAGATGCCCTGAGGCGAGAGGAGGCACCGGTGAGCCCTCTGCACCCCATCCCTGCCCGAGAGGGTGGGTGGTCCTGACCGGACCCCCCTCTGCCGCCCCACACTGCCTGCCCCAGGCCCAGGCCTACCCCATTGCTGTCGATGCAGGTGGCATTGCTGAGAGGGCAGTCACAGCTCAAGCCTGTCCAGCCAGGCTCGCACTCACACCGGCCCATGGAGCAGCGTCCCCGGTCTGCAGAGAGGAGGCGGGGAGAGCCCATTCATACCTGCAGTCCTGGCTGCCCACCTGCCGGGGAGGGCCTGGGGGAGCTGAGCTCAGGGGTAGAGCCCTCTTTTCCTCACTTTCTTCAAAAATCTTCCCTCCATCTGTTCCCCTCCATCCCACCTTCCACTTTCCACTCTGCAGCCAGAGTGACCACCCCAAAACACAAATGCAATCGTGTGGCTCCCCTGTTTAAGAACCTCTATTGAGTCTTGGCCAATGCAATCAGGTAAGAAAAGGAAATAAAACATATCAGTATTGGGCAGTGAGAAATAAAACTGTCATTACTTCCAAGTGTCAGGAACCTGTCACAAAATATCAAGAGAGCACAGATAAATTATTAGGGCTCATTAGTGGGCTGAGCAAGGTGCCAGGCCACAAGGTTAACACACAAACAGCTAGAGAGTGAAAACAAAACCTCCAGGGCCACTCCTTTGCCCTCAGGATGAAGTCCAGCCTGTGCAGGAGGCAGCCGATCAATGATTCTCTCTCATCGCTGATGTTTCTGTCTCTCTCTCTTCTTCTCGTTCCTCTCTGAAATCAATAAGAATATTTAAAAAATATACTTTAAAAATATATGTGTGTGTATAGATATTAAAGAAGGAAGGCATTTGGACTAGACTAGACCTGGGCTCACCTTGCGCTCTGGCCTTGCCTCCTTCCCTGCAGCGCCCCCCTCCCCTCCTCCCTCCCAGCTCTGTCTTCCAGATGAACTGTTGCCCCCTTCGTTTCCCTGAACGCTCTCTGGGATGGACGGCGGGAGAAGAGAGATGTCGGGCAACAGCAGGAATGGACGAAAGGGTAGGAGAGCTGGGGCTCCACCCTCGGCGGCAGGCGTACAGTTGGGGCTTAGTAAGAATGTGACGAGTGGATTTTCATTCCGTCCTTCCACGTGGCACCTATCTGGGCTCTGTGACCCCGCCCGGCTGGGCAGCGTGGGGCTGCGGAGGCTGTCACTCCAGGCGTGCCCGTAGAAATGTAGCATCTCTGAGCGAGGTGGGCACGGACGGGGGACCTCAGGGGAGTGGGGGTCTCAAACACAAGGGGAACGTCGCACCGGCCTTGGGCATCGAGTTCGTAGAGGGGGTAGAGGTCCAGGCTGGTGCTGGACTTGGGGGAGGAGGCACTCAGGGAGCCGGAGGAGGGCTGGGCCCGAACTTGGGATTCGGACTCTCAGCCTGGCTCTCACAACCTGTCCTGATGGGGGAGCGGCAGGGCAGGGCAGGGGCTGGCACCCGGGCCACCGGCACCGGCCACCGCGGCTGCTGAGCTCACCGTTGCAGAGGAACCCGGAGGTGCGTGGGCACTGGAAGTTGTCGTACTCGCAGAACTGGCCCTCGTAGCGGCCTTCGCCGTAGCACACGCAGCGCCCGCACTGGCACTCGCCGCGCCCGGAGCATGGCTTGTCCTCTCCCTCCCGCAGGCAGGGCTGGATGTCACTCAGGGAGCCCGTGGAGCAGCTGCAGGTCTTGCCACTCCTGAGGGAGGAGCCAGTCACTTCCCACAGCCGGGGACCAGGCTGGGCCTTTTACCCTCCCATTTTACAGATGAGAAAACTGAGGCTCTGAGTAGACTGCCCCCAGCCCCCAGCTCCCGTGCCCTGAAGGCCCGTTGTCCTGATTCTTGCACGTCTTTCCACCTGCATCCTAAGTAGCTCAAAGTGCTTTGAACGGGCCGCACCTAACAACCGGGTGCCCTCTCCTAGTCAGGCACAGACGGGGGCCCAGGGTGAGGGCCCGCTGGCATGCTGGGCGCTGCACACTCACCAGCCCTCGTAGCACACACAGTGTCCGCACATGAAGTCTCCGTTGCCGCTGCACTGGGGTGAGCCCACCTCTTTTTGCTAGAATGAAAACACATAGGGACACTGGACACTCCTGCTGCCTCTGCCCCTCAGGGCGCCCCTCGAGGGGGACGTGGCCACAGGGTGCGGGGCGCAGGGCGCAGGGCAGCCGGCTCTGCCGCTCCCTCCCGCCCGGGCACGGCCGTACCAGCTCGCAGGCGCACAGGTCACAGACGATGCCCACGTCCATCCGGAGGCCGTCGGAGAAGGAGGGCTTCAGGTGGATGTTGCCCTTCCTGTCATGTTCTGGCAGCTGGCACACGTGCGTCCCGTCCACGTCCTCGATGGCCCGAAGCTGAACTTGGTAGGTGCCCTGCAGGGACCCTGCTGTCAGCCAAGGCAGGCCCGTGTCTGAAGGCCCGTGGGCCTCAAGCTTCGGGATGTGCCTGGGTCCTGGCCCCCAGCTCCCTGCCTGCCCTCCCTCGGGGCCGAGAACAGTCACGGACACCAGCACTGAGCCTCCTCCTTTGGCCCGTTCGCGGTCTGAGCAGCCGTCTGAGCTCCGTGCAGGCGGACCCCGCTGTGCCGAGGAGGCCACAGACAAGCGCGGGAGGCGCCCAGCTCATCCGAGGGGCTGACCCGGGACCTTCGAACCCGGGCCTGTCTGGCTCCAGAGGCCACGTCCTTGACCTCTGCTCAGGCTGACTCCCTCGCAGGGGCTGTGCCCGCCCTCCCGCCCCGGGGCCCCGTGAAAACGTACCACTTCTCCTCGCCGGATGTGAAAGGACCCTGTCTCCGTCTTCTGGAACATCTTGGAGGTGACCTCTGTCCGCAGGCCGCGGGGGCTGTCCAGGGCCCGGATGTCCAGGTTGGAGTGAATGCGCTAAAGGAAGGCCAGGGGTCAGGGGCCTGGGGGAGCCTGGGCCCACCCCTCGGGCCTGGCTGTGCTCTGCCCCTGTGTGGGGACTGGGGTGGCGTCAGGGTGGCAGGGCTCGGTGGGCTCCCCGGGGACCCTGCCTCACTGGCCTGTCCTGTTTCTCCACCCTGACTGGGGACACCCTTTGCCCACTCGGCCGGCCTCCCCCCAGCCCCGCCCGGAGGGACCCGGCCTCGGGCGGGCGCCGCGCCTCACGTTGAAGGCCTCCTGCAGCAGTTCCACGATGTTGGATGAGTCTTCCTGCAGCACGCCCAGCGAGGACACGGGGAAGTACTTGTGCAGCTTCTGCGGAGAGAAAGCCAGGCCCCAGCTCAGTAACAGCTCAGGGTTATGCCCACTTTGCAGATGGGATCACTGAGGCCTGAAACCTGCCGGCGCATCCAGAGTCGGACCTCTTAGCCCCTCCTGCCTGGGGGAGGGTGGGCACATGACCTCCCTGTCCCACCAGGGCACACCCTGGAGGTGCTGGCTGGTTGGGGTGGAAGTAAGGGGTGAAGGGAGGGACGAGAGACGGAGAGAGAGGAGAGAGGTCTGAGAAGATCCATGGACCCCCACCCGCCCCTTTCTCAGCCGGTGAGGCCCCAGGCCACCCCCCACCCCCACTAGCCCCCACACACACCTCGTAGTAGCTGTAGGAGTAGTTGGTGACGGCGAAGATGGGGATAATGTTGTGTTTGGCCAGCAGGCGCACCAGGGTGGGCACAGACGGGTAGTCCTGTGTCTTGTACTGGGTGTAGGTGCCTGTGGCGTCCAGGTGGCACTCCTCGTCATTTCGCTTCAAGATGCCAGCCAGCACGTTGGCACCGTCGGCCTCATAGTGGAAGGCGGACTCGGTGGAGAACACCAGCAGGTGGGTGCTGTCAGGGCGCCAGCCGATGTCCCTCTGGGGAGAGCAAGGAGGGCAGTCACTGCGTTGTCGTGTGCGACGGTGAACGTGGGTCCCCATGCGGGGCCCGGCGAGGCCACAGGACGAACAGCAGCCGTCATCACGAATGAGTGACGACATGGAAGACAGAACCAGTGCCAGGAAATGGGTGCGGGTCTGCGCACGCCGTGGGCGCCACACAAGATCGGCCCCAGGGCCATCCGAATGTCCCCCAAGGTCTTAGCCACCCTCCAGAACGTTTTAACTGCACAGGAAAAGGTACCCCACACAACATTAAATGAACAGGGCCGGTTACAAGAGGCCCAGCAGCGATGGCGCTTGGTTAGACGACAGATGGGACGAGTTTGGAAACGATTACAAAAGAGAAGATGCGCCAAGTGAAAAAAAGCAAGTTTCAGATGAGCAGGGCACCGACTCCAACCACAGGAAATAAGGATGAGGGACACCGTGGCCGCCGTCCGACCGTGGTGACCATGGGGTACTTCTCTTTGTTTTCCAAACTGTCTAGTAAGTGGGTATATTATTTTCAAAATGGGAAAAAATTGACGTGCACACAAAACAAAGTGCCTTCTTCGGCGGCCCAGCACTGCTGGAGACGGGGCAGCCCGTGGGTCCTGGGAGACTGGCACGAGGGAGGAGATTGGGTGGGAGGCTGGCATCAGGGCACGGAAGGTTCCGGAGATCCGGGACGCATGTCTGCCTCGCCGGCCAAGGCTCAGGGCGAGGGGCTGTGGCTCCCGGCACATCTGAAGCCTCATTGTAACTGAGGGCCGCCCAGAGCAGCTCGGGACGCGGGGCCTCGGCTGGCACCGGAGCAGCACTGCCCTCTCCCAGGCGCAGCCCCTCCCTGGCACGCACCGTGCACACGGCTGTCTGCAGGATGGCGTCGAAGCCGCCTTCCGGGGCGTCCAGGTTGCCCGAGATGCGCTCTTGCTGCAGCTTCCTCCGGAACTCGGTCACGTCGTCCGTCAGGCTGATGACGTTCTTGAAGGAGAAGGGGGCGTCGCTGTGGGGCCAGGGCTCCTTCAGCCTGGGCACAGGGGGAGGGAGAGGGTCAGGGGCGAAGGCCCACATGCGCCCCCGCCCGTCCTCTCTGGGAGGCCGCCCGCTGGGCTCATTTCAGGCCAGGACTCCCGCCCCCTCGGCCACTCACTTCTCCGGCCTCATGTCTGTCTGGGGGACGCTGACTTTGTCCACAAACTTGCCAAATCCAATAGTGTAGTCGCTGGTGAGCCGGCTGAGGACCCGGGCTGAGCATCAACAGGGAACAGAGAGGGCAGCTGAGCCCCAGCGCCCCCACATCAGCACGGGGGGCCGGGGCTGGCTCGGGAAGAGGAGGTGACCTCGGTGGACACACAGTGATGCTCCCAGGAGCCCTTGTCCCTAGTCACAGTCGAGGGCCATGGGCCTCGGGTCCCAGAGCCCTGCACGGGGCCGGCTGGAGAAGGCGGCCTTCTCTAAGTCCCAGACCCTGGGGACGCTCCCCTGGGAACGTGGGGAGTTCTGGGGGGGGAGGGTTTTAGTGTCCTGTCCTTCCTTGTGGGGTGGGGACAGCTGTCCTGAGCCCTGGCCTCTGAGCAGGTGCCCAGCGGGCCGGGTGAGGCACCTGCCCCCCCTCCCCCGCCCCTCCGTCCTCCACGCTGGCCTGGCCGTACCCAGGTGCTCCCCCATCTGCTTGAGGTTGTCCAGATCGTCGGACATGGAGTTGGAGAAGTCCATGAGGATGTACAGGTCCACGGGGCTCTCCAGCGGCTCGAACACCTCCAGCTCGAAGTGCCGCTCCTCGCCAGGCCGCAGGAGGACCTGCAGCGCCTGGGGGGACACCTGGCTGCGGCGCAGGGTGGTGTCAATCTGGGTCTCCTGTGACGGGGGAGGGGGCAGAGGGGGTCACTCCAGAGAGCTGATGGTCCCTCTCCGCCCAGCCCGGGACAGGGAACCCCACACAGCCGCCTTGAGCATGGAGGCCCCAGCTCCCTTGCCCCCGCCCGGCACCTCTGTGATCTCGAAGCTGCTCTCCATGACCACCACGCTCTCCAGCCGGCAGCCCGCGGCCAGCAGCTCCGCCTGCGTGTTGCAGCGCCGGTCCTTGAACGTCTGGCCGGAAGGAGACGGGTCAGGGGGCGCAGGGCCCGTCCCCCGGATTTGTCCCCTCCGAGTTTCCTGACCCGCGCCCGTTCTCCCACAGCCGCCCGGCGGGAGGCCGGTGTGGACTTGGCCAGCGCGGGGTGGCGGGTGGCCGGGAGGGGCCCCGGGTGGCCGGCGGCGGCTCACCTGGTCGGTGCAGTAGGCGCAGTCCTTGTCCACTCGGATGCACTCGGTGCAGCTCTTCACCTGGGCCTTCCGGCAGCGGTTGGCTGGGCGGGGACCGGGCAGACCACTGAGCCGACCTCCCCGAGACCAGGCCCTCCCCACTGCACCGCACGGGAGAGCGGGTCTCTCCCCAGTTCACAGAGGGGAAACGGAGGCGGCAGCGGCTGCGCGGTCTGCCCCAGGGAGTACAGCTAGAAACGGGGCTCACGCCTGGCGCTTCCCACGCGACTCAGTGGCAGCCAAGAGAGAGGTGCTGGCCCGTTTGCTGGTGGGGACACCCTGGCCACTCCCTCACCCGCCCCAATGCTTAGCCCAAGGCCTGACTCACAGTCGGTTGTTAGCAAATGAATGAGCTAAAACTCCTGGGATTCCCTTTGGTTCTATTCAGTTAAAACCACAGTGAAGACCTACTATGTGCACCCAGTGTGCCCAGTGGGTGGTCTCCTGGGCCCCAGGCTATGGCCTGTTGTCACTGTTTAACAATGGAGCTGGCCAGGAGCAGCGACTGCCATTCCCTGTGGTGTAAATATTGCCCAAGGTCCACTTCACCCTATCAACATGGCCACCACCCACCGGCCAGATTTCAAATTTCACGGGAGGAGGGGCTGGCACGGGGACAGCAGGTGATGAGTCACCGGTCTCTCCTCTGGATTCGAGGCCTCAGCACATCCTGCCAGAGCCCCCATTCCCAGAGTGGGCATCTTCTCTCCCTCCCCTCTCCTCCCCCCTTCCCTTCCCCTCCCCTCCCCTCCTCCCCCCTTCCCTTCCCCTCCCCTCCCCTCCCCTCCCCTCCTCCCCCGATTGTTCTTGAGCCACAGGACTCCTGGCTCCGCAGCCCCCACTGTGGGCCGAGGGCCATTTGTTGACTGGCCGAGTGGGTATCTGGGCCAGACGCCCCTTGAGAGGCCCCATGTGAGGGTGTGTCAGGAAGGGGTGCCCTCACCAAGAGGGGTGCCACAGGGGCATGCGGGACTCACCCATGTCCCCAGGGACGCTGACGCTCAGCAGGGCTGCCAGCAGCAGCCTGGTCCATGGGCTGGGCCGCGGCCCCGCCATCCTCTTCCTCCTGTACGACAGCAGCAGTTCACGGCGGCGCCCACGCAGAGCCCTGGGTCCCCAGCACAGGCCAGGCCTCCCATTCCCTCCGCTCAGGGCGGAACCGGGGCCCCACCCTCTTGCCTTTGGGGGCTCTGGGCTCTGAGCTTACTCTGGTGCCAGGTCCCTGCGCTGGGCCCTGGAGGGCAGGGCTGCTTCTCACTTTGCCTTTCAGACCCCAGTGGGCCTGGCTCAAGCTGGGCAGGGACAGGGTCCCCCAACAGGGGCCGCCTCTGGAGGGCCTGGCTCTTCCCTCCTGCCCCTCTCCGCCCTGGCCCCCTTCCCTCTGTGGGGGTGGGGCAGCCAGGAGGAGAGGGGTCCCTCCTGATATCTGGGGCCTCGGAGAGGAGGAGGGGCTCCCTGCCCTCAGCTGGGCTCCATAAGGGCTGCCCCCCTCACGGGTGGGGTTCCCTGCCCCACACCCACCTCGGCCTGCCCCGCAGTTGAGTTTGCGAGGCCTCTGAGTAGTTCACCCTTTGACACCGTTTGGTGGTAGAGTGCACCCCTGCCTGCCCCCCAATATACACACACACACTGTGCCAGCCACCCAGGAGCCTGTCTGCCTTGGTTCAGTATTAAAGCTTCTCAATGCATCAGCGGCCCCCGGGCAGGCACAGTCCGCTGCCTCAGGAAGGGAGGGGGCTGGCCAGAGCCCAGGCCTGCAGAGCTGGGCGGACGCAGCCTGGCCTCATGGCCTCATCCCCGGCGGGTCGCTCGGTCGGTTAGACTTAGAGCCTCGTCCTGATACACCAAGGTTGTGGGTTAGAATCCCCGGTCAGGGCACGTACAAGAAGCAACCAAAGAATGCATCAGTAAGTGGAACAACAAATCAATCTCTTGAGCTCTCTCCCTTCCTTCCTCTTTCTCTAAAATCAATAAAAAAATTGCCCACTGGCCCCCACTCCTTGGGTCCTTTCTTGTCCTGGCCTCGTGGGGCAGGGCCGGCTCTGGAGGGCTGAGGCGCCCACAGTGCTGGGCAGGCCGGGAGGGGCAGGCATGGCCTTTCTCCCTCCAATGCACGTGGCCCCAGGAGGCCCCCAGCAGCTCCAACACCCCATGGGCGGAGCCGGTCCTGCTCCTTGAGGGAAATGACTTCCCTGCAGCCTCAGGGTGTTGGCACCACACCCACATGCCACACAGTCCAGGCTGCGAGCTCGGGGGGCCCTGGGGCGCCATTACACATGCAGGTGTGGGTGCTGAAGGGCCCAGCAGGCTCTCACCCTCCCGTGCACACGGCTGGGGCATGGCGGCAGGTACCTGGCACAGGGACCCAGCGGGGGTGCATCTCCCAGATGAGGAGACAAGACACAGGTCGCTGGGCTGCCCCTCCCCTCAGCCAGCAGGGGGAGCCTGGAGGGGACCCCCATTTGACCTCGGCTCCTCCTCCGAGGCTATAACATGGGGTTAGGAGGCTAGTCGTGCACTTGAGCGTTTTGTTTGACTCAACTTGTGTCCATAAAGTTTTAAAAGTAGTTGTCAACATGAAAAACAATGAGGTTTCACATAAAAGTTAGGGTGGTGGGCTTATCAGAGGGTGTGGCTATGGCGGGCTGGGCGGGGCCCTCTCTAGGCCCCCCCGACCCCCCATGTACCAGCCAGGTCCTGAGAATATGGGACTGCCACCCCGACGGGTGTCACCCTGCACACACCCAGACCGTCCGCAGAGAGGACATGTGCATGGACACACGCCGCGACCCAAGGGGCGGAGGCTCAGAGCTCCCCACACCACCCTCCTCCCACCCATGGGACCACTCAGCACGAGCACTGCCCACCACGGCGCTGCCCCTCCCACGTTCCCATTTCCTGGCCCCTCCGTGGAAATCGGGGTGAAGGAGACGGGCATCCCTTTCCTGCTGCCTCAAATGCCTCCCTCTCCCCTCCGCCCCCAGGAGGGAGGCCTCAGCCCTCACTGCCAGCTCGGTTGGAGGCAGCAACAACGGTGCCACGGGTGCCCAGGCCTCGGGCTCAGGGTGTGGCAAAGCCACAAGTAGGAGTAGGAGCCCAGCCACCGCCCTAGGAAGCCACCAGAGCCACACCAGAGGGCCACCCACAGGTGGGCCAAGCAGGTGGGCCGCGGCCGGCACCGGGGGCGGCCACAGTGCCGGGCGCCACCCCAGGGCTGCTGCCGGCGGTCTGGGAGCTTCCTGGAGGAAGGCGGGCGTGTGCTTGGCCAAGAGGAGCGTCAGGGACTCCCCAGGCCCCAGCGGGACGGTGCCCCCCACAGGCCCTGCCCTGCCCAGCAGCGAGCGCCTTGGCCTCTGCGTGGCTCTTCCACCTTCTCTGCAAACCCTGGAGGAGCCCAGCGGGCGGCCTGCCGTGCTCTGCCCGTGTCTCCCGCACACCCACCCGACACCCATGCCCTCCCTGCCCCTTCCTCTAGTCAGAGGTCTGATGGCCAAGTGCATCCTCCAGCCCTCCGCGCCCCCCCCCCCCCGCCGCCCTAGTGCCTCTGCCCCCAGGGCAACCTGGCGGGCTGGGCACTTGCCCTGTGCAGCATGGGCAGAGGGGCCAGCGCCGGCCAGACTCCAGGAAGGGGAAGAGCTGGGAAACAAAAGCCAGCCAGCGCTCCCACCCCACTCCCCTGCGCCGGCCCAGGCTCGGGGGTCCCCCCTTCTCCCGTCCAGGTCTCAGAACCGGCAGAGCCCTGTCGGCCTGGGAACCCCGAGGGGCGGGCGGGGTGCCTCCCGGCGACCCCTGACTGCCCTCCGCCCTGGACTCCTGCCCCTGCCCCTGCCGGGCGGGAGGCTGCACCTACCTGGGCGCAGATTCGCGCCCTCCCCGCGCTGGGCTCCGCGGCTGGCGGCTGGCGGCCGGGCGGCTGGGCGCGGGCGCTCGGGAGCTGGACGGTCCGGAGGGCGGGCTGCGTGGGGGCGGGAGCAGGGCAGGGAGGGACCGCTTTATGAGGCGCGGCAGGTAGGAAGGAGGCGCTGGTGAGTCAGGCTGGGCGCATTCCTGCACGCGGCGCACACCTGTCGGGGCAGGAGCTGGGGCGCAGCCGGGCCCGCCCCTCCGGAAAAGACTGCGGGGCGAGGCGAGGCGCCGGCCCAGCTACCGGACCGACGGCGGCACGGACAGGGGAGGAGCCACCTCCGCTCGCTCCAGTCCTGCCCCGGGGCGGGCGCAGCGCCTCTCCACCTTTCCGGGCTCCAGACTTGGTGGCCGAGCTGCCCTGTGCTCGGGGTGGCCTCTTAGCCCCATGCCCGGATGGCCATCGTCCGTCCTCCAGGTCCCTTCTCCAGACCCTGGGCGGGGAGCCTCCGCACCGCCCGACGGCAATGAGCGCGGGCACCACCTCCCCCCCTCTCCGGTGCCAGCGCAGGGATGGGCCCAGAAACTGCCCCGAGCCAGGTCTGCCATTCACTAGGTTCTCCCCCCGCCCCCCGTGCTCCCCACCCGCCCGGCCCCCACGTGTGTCCAGAGGGCGATCAGCTCGGACCGAGTGCCCGCAGGCAAACCACTCAAACCTCCTTCCCTTGTGAATCACAACCATCAGGAGCCAGCACCCACCCGCAGGGAGGGCAGTCCAGTCGCTGTAGTTGTTCTTAACACGCTGGTTCACACACCTGCCCCTCCGCCCTGCCCTCCCCTCTGCCCATGCTGCACAGTGCAATCTCTCCGGGGCTGCTGATAAACCGGTGTCAGCTGGAGCCTCCTAAGTTGCCCTGGACCCCATCGGTCTATTTCTCCAGCCCCACCTGCCGACAGTGCCATTCAACAGGATCCCTGGCAGCCCCGGCCCCCACGGTGCAGCTTCAGGCCACCACACTGGTCGGAAAGGACCTGTTCTGAGGTCTCTCTTCTCCACGGGACTGTGACCCCTGAGGATGGAGCGCTCAGCACATCCTTCTGTCCCTGCTCCTTGCACGGCGCCGGCAGGTGCAGCGCCCCATCAAGGCTGGCTGGGCCCAACGGCTTTGCTAGAGGCCTCCCTGAGCCTCAGGGCTCCTGTCGGTCAGTGATTGTGGGAGCAGCTGGGAGCCACTGCTCAGCCGCCCGGCCCAGTCCTCTTTTGAGAGCTGCTCTGCACGGCTGCCGAGGCTGGCTCCTGGCTGGGCGCACTGTGGAGGGAGCGCCCGTTTGGTGGCGGTGCTCAGGCCTAAGACCAGCCCCCAGTTCCTTGGGTTTCTGGGGGTCTGGAGGGTCATTACCTGGGGTCTGTGTGCGGACCTTGGGGGTGCTTGTCTGTGAACCATCTGAGATCATGTGCAAAACTCCAGGGGTATGTGGTATAGGGCAGTGGTTGGCAAACTGGCTCGAGAGCCACATGCGGCTCTTTGGCCCCTTGAGTGTGGCTCTTCCTTAGCCTTAGGAGTACCCTAATTAAGTTAATAACAATGTACCTACCTATAGAGTTTAAGTTTAAAAAATTTGGCTCTCAAAAGAAATTTCAATCGTTGTACTGATACTTGGCTCTGTTGACTAATGAGTTTGCCGACCACTGGGCTAGGGGATGTGCCTGGCTGGGGAGAGGGCCCTTAGTTGACTTGTATTCCCAGATAGGTTACTGGCCCCAAAGGGTTAAGAATAACTGTATTCTATGTTCATTTGACAAGAAATAAAACCTGGCTGTCTCATTCGGCAGCCGTAGGGCCAGAGTGAGGCCGGCATGTAGGGGCCACCTCCTCGGGGCTCTGTACTGCCTCCCACCGCCCAGCACCCCAGGCCAGGCCAGTGCACTCATTAGTTCAGCTCCTTATTCATTTCACAAGCATTGGATGAGCTCCTATGCCCGGGGCTGGGGAAAGCCCGAGGCATGGAATACGTCACCTGTTTGCTCCCGGGAGCGCCACAGCGGGAAGCGTGTTCTACAGGGCTGCGCCAGATAACCCACTATTCCTGTGCCTGCCAACATACATCGCTTACTGGTAGAGTGGTACGTGTAAGATAGACAGGAGATGTGTGATCAAAACAGTTTGGTGGGCAGTGTAGAGACCCAGTGCCGACCGCCCCGTCTGAGGGAGTGGCCTCCCAGATGGACAGCCGCTAGCCTGGTCTCTCCGAGGGCCAGGGGGTTGCCAGTAGACCCCCTTTAAGATTATAATCCCCCCAACTTTGTTTTGAATATTTTCAAACATGTAAAAACGTTGAAAAGAGTATAAAGATCATCTGCATTTTTAATACCTGGACCCAACCAAGAATGAACCTTTGTCATATTTACTTTATATGTTTGTCATGTATTCCTTTATCTTTTTTTTTTTTTTCCAATTAGCAATCATGCCTCGGATAAACCTACGTTCCTGCCACTGCTCAAGGCTATGCATGTATCTTTCTATTTGAAGTTGGAGATACCATGACATTTTCTCTCCATACTCCAAATGTGTATCCGGTCCCCCACACAACCACAATGACTATCACACCTAAAAAAATGAACAAGAATGTCCTAATATCTGACTCAATTCTATTAAAATTTCTTAGTTGTCCCCTATTATAACTATTTCCTTTTGAATTAGCGTCCACTCCATGTCACCCACTGCAGCTGTTTACTCTCTTACCAGCGTCCCCCCTCCCCCCACCGCCATTGACCTTTAAAAGCCAATTGACCTGCAGAATGCCCCACTGTCTGGATTTGATTGCTTCCTCATGGTGTCACTGGGCTTTTTTAGCCTCCTGCAAACTGGAAGTTGGGTCTGAAAGTCTGATTAGATTCAGGTGAAACATTTTTTAAAAATAAATTTTTGATTTCAGAGAGGAAGGGAGGGGGAGAGCTAGAAACATCAATGATGAGAGTCATTGATCGGCTTACATTTGTTCACATCCTTTTGCACACCACCTACTGGGGATCGAGCCCTCAATCTGGGCATGTGTCCTTGTCTGGAATTGAACCCGGGATCCTTCAGTCCGCAGGCCAGTGCTCTATCCACTGAGCCAAACCGGCTAGGGCCAGGTGAACCATTTATGGCAAGAGTGGTCTTAGGTTGTGCTGCGGGTTTTAATGGGTGGCACATGTCAGCTGTCTCACTGTGAGAGATGATGAAGTGACAGCCATCAGTCTTCTTTGTAGAAATATGTTTTACACTTTGTGATTCAGAAGTAATCTAGAGCGGGGTCGCCAACCTTTCGGACCTCACGGACCACCAGTTGGCAACCGCTGATCTAGACAGTGCCTTGTCACCCTGCCCGGTTTCCTGTTACCGCTCACCGAAGAGTTTTAGCGTCCACTGTAGATCCTTGCCTGGATCAACTATTCTTTTGACGCTGCAGAATTGTGATTTTCTGTTTCTACATTTAATAGAAGGCATCCTTCTGATTAAAAAAAAAGAGGTTCCCTTTATCAACAGGGGATGAACTATGCGCCTCCAAAAATACTGGGGAAATGTTGTTTTGTTTTTTTTTTGATGTTGCTTTTCTTTTTTTGTTAAAAAATAATTTTTTAAAAATCCTCACCCAAGGATATTTTCCCGTAGATTTTTAGAGAGAGTGGAAGAGAGAGGGAAAGACAGAAATATCGATGTGAAAGAAACACATTGATTGGTTGCCTCCTGCACGAGCCCCAACCAGGGCCCAGCCTGGGGAGGAGCCTGCAATTGATCGGAATCGAACCCGGGACCCTTTGGTATCCACTGAGCCAAACTGGCTAGGGGTAAAAAAAATTTTAATTACTATTACAAAGCAACCCGATTAAAAAAAAAATCGTAGTAAAAAATATAACAAAAATTACCATCTTAATTTTTAAATGTACAGATCAATAGGGTTAAGTACATTCACATTTTTGGGCAACAGATCTCCAGAACTTGCTCATCTTGCAAACAGACCGTTTATACTTATTAAACAGCACCCCGGACCCCCTACCCCCAGCCCTGGTTACTGTTCAATTTTTCATCTTTATGAATTTTACTCCTTTAGTAAAGCTACCTCGTAGAAGTGGAATCATAGTATTTGTCTTTGTGGCTGGCTTACTTCACTGAGCACCATGTCCTCACGGTTCACCTCTACTGCAGCATGTGTCACATTTCCTTCCCTTTCAGACAGAATATTCCCTTGTACATATAGGCCACAGTTTTTCATCCCTCAACCTTCAATGGAGCCTGGTTGCTTTCACTCTTGGACACTGTGAAGATGAACAGAACTTCAGACCCTGCTTTTCTTTTGGACATATACAGCGGGGCCTTGACTTACGAGTTTAATTAGTTCCATGACGGAGCTCGTAACTCAAATTACTCATATGTCAAATCAACAGTGAACGAGTGAGACACGTGATGCTGGGCTTATGTTGTGGCGTTCACTGTGACGTTCGCTGCGCCAACTAGCGGTGGGCTATCTGAAGCTGGCTCGTAACCCGAATTTTAGCTCGCAACTCAAAGCAAAAAATCGGCAGAGAGACAGCTCGTATCTTGAAAAACTCGTTAGTCGGGACACTCGTAAGTCAAGGCCCCACAGTACCCCCAAGTGGGACTGAGGGGCCACATGGTAGTCCCATATTTGATTTTTGAGGCCCCCCCACGTCCACAGCAGGGGCCCCTGGTGGAGGATGCAGGGGAGGAAGCCCCTTAAGAGACCCTCTTGGGCCCTGGCTGGTGTGGCTCAGTTGGTTGAGCGTCGTCCCATGCACCGAGTGGTGGCCGGTTCCATTCCCCGTCAGGGCACATGTCTGGGTTGCAGGATCGATCCCCAATAGGGGGTGTGCAGGAGGCAGCTGATCAGTGTTTCTCATTGATGTTTCTCTCTCCAAAAACTCAATAAAAACATTTTTAAAGTTTAAAAACAAAATGATTAAAAAAAGAGACCTCTTGGGACTATGGGGCAGCAGCTCCTCTCCAGGGTTGCAAAGTCCTATCAGAGGAGGAGAGAGAGGGTCCTCTAGTGCCAAGTGCTGTGTGTGGGGGAGGGGATGAGTGTGATTTGATTTGATTCTGGGGGCGGCAGGGGCAGACTCATCCGAACAGCATCAGGTGCATTTTAGGAGCACCTTTCCCCACCTCCGCGTGCCCCATGGAAGCAACTCGGCTCTTCACAGCCCGGCTTCCTTCCCTGCGCGCAGCCCTTCCGCGGGCGTGGAGAGGTGGCAAAGAGCAGGCGAGGCAAACGCGTCCCCTTTGGGTTGGCCACGGCTGGGAAACCTGTTCTGGCCCCAAGAGGAGCCCAGCGATTACTGGTGCTGCCCGGGGCTGCTGTGGGGCAGAGATAACGGGCGCAGGAAGGGTGTGGAGGCAGGATCCTCCCAGGAGCCCGCTCTCCTGTAAACAATGAGCTGCCCCCGCCAGGGCAGGAGGTGATTCATCTCCCTGCCGCACCGGGCAGCGCTGGGGGGGGTACCCAGGGCCCAGGCAGCTGTGGCCAGGAGCTGAGGCTTTGCCCCTCCCTGTGTGGGTGGGGATCAACCCCAGCCCTCCTGGGAACTGGTCTGACTTTAAAGTGTGGGTGTGTCCAAGGGGTCCGGAAGCTCAATCACCCCCAAGGGAGCAGCGGCCTCCGCTCCTGGATGAGAACTGGCTGGGTTTTGGAAGTGAGACAGCGGGCAGTGGCTACACAGGGCCTCACCCACTGTCTGGGCCCCCTCCTGCCATGGCATCTTCCTGGGCCAGCCCTCAACACTGAGTAGTAACCCCAACCGGAAGACGGAGAGGACACCTGAGCTTCCGCGTTCGCCTGCAAACTGACTGTAGGAGAGCCCAATGCATCCGAGATGCCAAGATGCAAGAACAAGCACTTTTAATAGGGCAATGGACCCGGGTGGCGCAAGGACCCTGTCCACAGCCCACATCTCTGCAGCAACATCCGTTTGGCTGGAAGGCCACACAGAGGCTCCTCGCGGGGCGGCCTCTGGGGAGCAGGTCCCAGTCCTGAAATATACAACGCAGAAGCTCCCGCGAGCATCGTCACTGGGCGGCAGTCTCATCTCTTATCAAGCCCTGGAGCGGCTCCTCCCTGGACGGGAAGGAATGTCCGAGCCGCTCCAAGCTGGTGCCTGGGTCACTGCTTGGCCTTCTTCACGATGGTGCCCACGGCAGAGATCACGGTGGTCTTGGAGCCGCTGGCACTGGTGGTCACGGTGACGACAGCCGGCAGGGTTGCCGTGGTGGTGAGGATGGTGGGCTGGGCTATGGTTGTCACTGGGATGGCTGAGTCCCACTTGCTCTTTCTCTTTTGAGCATCTGGAAATAAGGCGAGAGAGAGGTCAGGACCAAGACAAAGCAAACAGACACCCCTTTCCAGAAGCAGCGGCCAGAGCGTAGGGAACAGGAGCCTCAGGGCCGGCCACGGAAAGCCAAGGGGCAGCCTGTGAACCGGGGGCCTGCCTGGCCTCCAAGGCTGGCTCGACATCTCTGGGCTCAGACAAAAGCACAGGGAGGTGGAGCCGAGGCCCGAGTCCCCGTGGGGACCCCCCACCCCTGTGGGGTCTGTTCCCCCCACGAGGCAGGGAAACCCTTGCTCCATCTGTGGTGCAGCCGGAAACAGACAAGCGCCTTCTACCTGCAACAGCTGTGCTGGCCGTGGTGGTGGTGGTGGCCGTGGCGTTGGTCGTGGTGCCTTTCTTGGTGCCGGTCACAAACTCAATCTGGAGGGCAAGAGGGAAGGGAGTGAGACCTGGGCAACGAGGCTGGTCCCACCTTCGTGCCAGCCATCTGCCCTGGGGCACAGGCGTGTGGCTGGCACCACACAAAGCAGGCATTGAGGACCCGCGCCAGCGTGGCTGGGGGGAGGGGAGTGTTCCAGAGGCGCCCGAAGGGGATTTTTACTCGGAAGAAAACTCCCCAGACACTGGATCCTCCCGCATCACCAGGCTTCTGCACACGCCAGGAGCACCCCTTCCGCCGCCCCACCTCCCATGCCCAGGCCCCCTCCTCACACCAGGAGGAAGGGGTGCCGGCAGCACAGGGGAAGGAAGCTCGGGACCCTGGGGCTTGGGAGGGGGAGGGAAAGGAGAGCGAAGGGAACTCAATCCAGGGCTAAGAATGAGAAAACCCGACAGCCCCAGCACAGCGCCCAGAGGGCCCAGCAGCTCCTCTGCCTGGGGGTGAGGGAGGCGTCCTGGCGGCCACAGCTGTGGGAGGGTCAGGCCAAACCGAAGGCGGGAGGGGCTTTGTCCTGAACTTTCTCTCGGAGGCTCTGGTCATAAAGTGCTGGTCTCACAGCCACATTTCCCTTCCCCAAAGCTCCCGTCCTGCTCGGGAAGAAGCGGTGCTCAGGGTCCTAACGTGAGGGGTCACCTGGCCATCAGACGAGGACCTACAGGGAAGCACTGGGCAGGCCGCCAAGGTCAGCTCTGGAGGCCACGAAAGGCACCGACCAGAGCGCTCTCAGGAGGAAATACCTGCCTCCCTTCAGCCAGGGAGGACACAACGGCCCCAGAGAGAGAGCCATCAGGGCTCTGCAGCTGTCAGGGGTGGGGATGGAGGGACAAAGGCAGCAACTACAAGATCCAAGAAACCAAATGGAAGCAACTGGAAAGTGACTTAAAGCTGAGACAGGCTGAAAAGCAAGCAAGGCCTGTCCCTTCACAAGGCACCCAGGCAATGAACTGGGGTGGGGGCAGGGCCGGAGAGCAGCCTGGAGCCCTTGAGGCTCGGCCAGCAGGACCCACAAACCCTAAACACTCCCCTTGCATCCAGGACATTTGCCCATCGCTTACTTTGGTTCGCTCCTTTTTGGCTTTTTCCAATTTGTCCATTTCAACCTTCTGGGCTTTGGCTACAAAGACAAGAGGAGCTGTTACAAAAGAGGCCTTGGGACAGCTCCTACACTTTAGGCTGAGGGACCTTAGTCCAGCACTGGCTGCCTTCCCTGCATCTTGTTTGATGCACTAAGGTGGCCTCTAGGCCCGAGGGCCTCAAACCCAAAGGCCCAGGTGCGCACGCTCCGAGTCCAGCTGCCCGCTCCGTGTGGGAATACAGAAGGCCCGGTATCGACTACCTTCCCTGGACCATGAGAAGCTGGAATTATGGCTTTTCAGGGAGAATCTTGTCAGCTGTTCAAATTAAAGCAAGACAAGACTTGTGTGGGCCAAACAAAACCCGTCTGCAGGCCGGATCTGGTCCATGGGCTGCTGGTTTGAGACCTGTCACTTGAGGGCATGGACCCTTTGAAATTCCTCCCCGTCCCCCCTAACGCGCCCCCTCCCCCCACCCGCGAGAAAAAGCTGTGCTCTCGCGGCCTCACAACATGCCGTCCCCCTGCCTGTGACCCGTCTACCGCTGGGCTGGCCTCGGCATCATCAAACCTCTGCTTGAACGTGTTTCCTCAGTGCCCAGCCCCTGGCCTGGTCAGGTGGCCCTGCCTGCACCCCATCGCATAGCACTCACTGCTGGAATTCCCCCTTCAACCCTCTGTCTTCTTTGTGTCATAAGCCTCCTAAGCCAGGGATGGGGCCTGTCTTGTTCAGGGCTGTACACCAGCTCCGTGGGCAGGGACTAACAGGAGACCTTGAAATGCATGTTGCCTGGTGACTGAATGACTGCACGTACAGACGACCAGATGGAGGGACAGATGGGTGTGCAGGTGGACGGACGGACAGACAGATGACTACCTACCTAATGCCTCGTAATAGGAGTCCTCAGACCAGCCATGGGGGTCAAACATATCCTGAAAAAGAAAAGGTTAACGCTGTAGTCAGTAAGGGCCATCTCTCTCCCTCAGCCTCAGCCTCCTTGCGGGACGTACCTTTGGGTAGTTGGTACCGAGCTCATCAATTGCACAGAACTGGATCAGCTTCTCGTAGATGCTGGAAGAAGAAAAGGATGAGGCCCTGAGCAGGGGCGCCAGAGTTTAAGAGCTCACCACCACCCAGCTTCTGGGCTCAGATAAAATCTGAAAACCCAGCGGGGCTGTCTCAGCAAGCTTCCCAGCGGGAGGGAGATGTGCACAGGCCCGACATGACCAGTCCTTTCTGCCCGCCACTCTCGCGGGATGACGGCTAGCCAGGGGCAGGCTGAACGGTATCGAGGTGAGGGCTGCGTTTTTGGGGTCTGACCTGGACACCTGACCTCCAGCTGTGGCTGGGTTGGGGCTACCACACTCAGGCCCAGAGGCCAGGGCAGGTCCCTGCTGCCATCACACCCGACTTTCCCAGGTGTGCCCCTTGCTCAGGCACTGGGCAGAGTAAGACCAGACAGCTCTGTCCTAAAGTCTGTCGCCTACACGCAGAACCAGGGACTTCTTAGAGGTGAGAGAAGAACCCACAATGGTCTAGTCCAACCCCCTCACTCATGGATGAGGAAACCGAAGCCTTGTGAGGTCACGTACTTTAGGAGCTGAGCAGGTATAAGAACCCAGGCAGGCCCCATTCTCGGCCTGGCCTCTTGGCTCCCAGTCCACACACTGGTTTATGTGCAGCTTGGATCTGAAATAGTAAATGTCCGGCTAGGATCGCAAACTGGCTGATGGTCCCTTTGGGCTCAGGTGGGATCCTAGCTGGGTCTCTCCTCGCCACATCCATGGGGCAGCTCAGTCCCTGGTCCAACATCAATGACTCAACCAACCCTGCAGGCTCATGGGAAACTCACCTGGGGTTCCGAAACTCTTTCTTCCTCTGGATCATGTAGTTCATATCCATCCCCTCCTTCATCTTCCGCTCATACAGCTTCTGGATCTTGTCCTACAGAAGAGAAACAGAGGGCCCTATGACCCCACCATGCCCCAGTCCCAGTCTGTGGTCACATGGGCTGTGTGGACACACGGACACAGGAGGTCCAGGGCCGCCTAAAGCCCTGTTCCAGCCACACTTTCTCCACCCAGCCTCTGACCAGCCTCTGAACCGCGAGCAGCCTGTTTACACCATGCTTTTCCTCCTGACTCCCTCTGGATAGCTGGCAGAGGGAGTAGTAAAAAGGTCAAGGCCGAGAAGCCACAGAGAAGACCGTGGACGAGTCCCCACCTGGTTCGGCAGCTCCTGAATCATCGGGAGAGGAGTGTCAGGCACTAGCGGTGATGGGCAGGGGCTGGAGGCTGGTTTTACATGTTAACACGGGGGCAAGTCCTCAGCGGGAGACCAGAAGGCTGTGTCCTTCGGAGGAAGGCAGGAGTAGAGTTTTTTGGATTTGGCCTCACAAACTTCCTAGAATGTCTTTGTGGGGAAGCTCACAGATGGCTGGTCCCCACCACTTCATCAAGAGCCACCGTCAGGGGTCAAGTTCATCTCTCACTTGTGAGCGGAGGTGGGGGGTTAGAAGTCCAAGAGATGCCCTTTGGGAACGCTGGGAGAGGTGACTGCGAAGGCCCACCTTTCTGCCGTGGCCAGCGGAAGCACCGAGAGAGAGAGAGGTTGCAATCTGTCTACCAGGGAAGAGAGGAGCCGAGAGGGACAGACCTGAGCGCTATGGCACAGGCAGGCAGGGAGGCCCACAGAAGGCCCGGCCTATGGGGCAGCCCTCTCTTACAGAGGACTTTTCTGGGTCTCCTGGGCCATGAGACGACTCCCCCATCTCGGGGGAGCGGAAAGGTGTGCTGCGTCGTGCTCTCTCCCACGAGGAGGATCTAGAGGAGAAATGCCCTAACCTCAGGCTGAGCGGCTGTCTGTGCCTGGCAGATGGCTAGACTGTCCTGACAGGCTGAGACTTGTTGCCTGGTGTGGAGGTTACACTAGGCTTGGGGGTGGCGGGCAGGGGGTTGACGACTCAGCAGAGGGAGGAGACTTCCGGAAAGGGAAGAGAATCTTCACTGCGCCGAAGCCCCCGCCCGCTGCATTCCACAGCCCGGCCCCATGAGTCACCATCCGCGAGGTGGTGCACGCGCCTGCGGAGCAGCACGGGGGTCCAGAGGACTCTATGGGGTCCAAGGTGGAGCCTCTATGGCAGTGGTTCTCCACCTTCTGGCCCTTTAAATACAGTTCCTCATGTTGTGGCCCAACCATAACATTATTTTCGTTGCTACTTCACAACTGTAATGTTCCTACTGTTATGAATTGTAATGTAAATACCTGATATGCAGGATGGTCTTAGGCGACCCCTGTGAAAGCATCATTTGACCGCCAAAGGGGTCGCGACCCACAGGTTGAGAACCACTGCTCTATGGGGTCCAAGGTGGAGCAGGTAGCCCCGTGGCCACCGCAGGCAGCTGGCAGAGGGGGTCTACCTACTGCTTGTCACAGGTCCCACTCACAGGGGACCTGAAGGGGGACTAGAAACCCTCTCAGAGGCTAGAAGGCCGGACCCCAGCTGTCCCCGAGGGCCTGCTCCCAAGGGGTAACTGCACTAACTGCTCCGCGTCCCTGGGGTTTCAAAACCTCAGCTCAGGTCTGTATGGGACTGGATGACAAGCAGCTAGTGAGCTGGCATTTTTGGGATACGAGCATGGGAATTTTAGGCATAAAAAAATGCTCGTGTTTAACATTTTTATAATTTATTTTACATTCTGACAGTCCCTCGGTTTCTTAACACATTGTTTGCGGGTAGTTTTTATTGCGCGCTAACAGGTGGCGCGGGCCATTTTTGCGCAAATGGCAACGTTCAGTAAAATTACGATAACTTTAGTTTACGTATTTATACGTTACCCGCATTCTACCGCTAGTCTATAAAAAACGTATTAATACGTGTCCCGTGCTCTACTACACTGGTAGAACGTATAAATACGTAAAACGTGTAAACACGTTTCCCGCATACAATGTGTTAAAAAAAGTTCCTTCTGAAATGTTCTCATTGGCTCAGCTGGGTTGCATAGAAAGGGTATGTCATCTTCTCTGTCTAGGTATAGGCCCTCATGGAGGGCAAGCCAGGGTGCCCCAGCCAGCGCAGCACCAGGTGAGGTGGCGGAGGGTGGCAGTTAGTACACAGCCAGCACCAGGTGAGGTGGCGGAGGGTGGCATGGGTACACAGCCAGCACCAGGTGAGGTGGCGGAGGGTGGCATGGGTACACAGCCAGCACCAGGTGAGGTGGCGGAGGGTGGCAGTTAGTACACAGCCAGCACCAGGTGAGGTGGCGGAGGGTGGCAGTTAGTACACAGCCAGCACCAGGTGAGGTGGCGGAGGGTGGCATGGGTACACAGCCAGCACCAGGTGAGGTGGCGGAGGGTGGCATGGGTACACAGCCAGCACCAGGTGAGGTGGCGGAGGGTGGCATGGGTACACAGCCAGCACCAGGTGAGGTGGCGGAGGGTGGCATGGGTACACAGCCAGCACCAGGTGAGGTGGCGGAGGGTGGCATGGGTACACAGCCAGGACCAGGTGAGGTGGCGGAGGGTGGCATGGGTACACAGCCAGCACCAGGTGAGGTGGCGGAGGGTGGCATGGGTACACAGCCAGCACCAGGTGAGGTGGCGGAGGGTGGCATGGGTACACAGCCAGCACCAGGTGAGGTGGCGGAGGGTGGCATGGGTACACAGCCAGGACCAGGTGAGGTGGCGGAGGGTGGCATGGGTACACAGCCAGCACCAGGTGAGGTGGCGGAGGGTGGCATGGGTACACAGCCAGCACCAGGTGAGGTGGCGGAGGGTGGCAGTTAGTACACAGCCAGCACCAGGTGAGGTGGCGGAGGGTGGCATGGGTACACAGCCAGCACCAGGTGAGGTGGCGGAGGGTGGCATGGGTACACAGCCAGCACCAGGTGAGGTGGCGGAGGGTGGCAGTTAGTACACAGCCAGCACCAGGTGAGGTGGCGGAGGGTGGCATGGGTACACAGCCAGCACCAGGTGAGGTGGCGGAGGGTGGCATGGGTACACAGCCAGCACCAGGTGAGGTGGCGGAGGGTGGCATGGGTACACAGCCAGCACCAGGTGAGGTGGCGGAGGGTGGCATGGGTACACAGCCAGCACCAGGTGAGGTGGCGGAGGGTGGCATGGGTACACAGCCAGCACCAGGTGAGGTGGCGGAGGGTGGCATGGGTACACAGCCAGCACCAGGTGAGGTGGCGGAGGGTGGCATGGGTACACAGCCAGCACCAGGTGAGGTGGCGGAGGGGGGCATGGGTACACAGCCAGCACCAGGTGAGGTGGCGGAGGGTGGCATGGGTACACAGCCACTCCGGAGAGCGGATAAGGGAGGTAACCGGACTGCAGGCTCCTCCCACCTGGGTATTTCTTTTACAGAAGCCTCTTCAAGCCGGACCAAACCAGACACCTGCCCCGGCCACAGAGTCAAGCTCGGTGCCTACCTGCAGGTGATTTGAACATCTGCCCGGGGGCTCTGGCGGGATCTTGATTTCATCAGGTGACATATTCCGGACTCTTTCAGAAAAGGAGGCTGTTGAGAGAACAGAGGAAAATTCTGTAGGGAGCTGGGGGTGAGAATAGGAGGTACACATGGGGGGAAAGCACATACACTGTTTTCAGGGAGGGATACACGCTATGGAAGTGTTCAGAGTAGCCCCTCAGCGGGTGGTGTCATCTGAGTTGAGATCATGTGACCAGAAGGAGCCAGCATGTGCCCGCCTGGAGGAAGGAAAGTTCAGGCAGAAGGTACAGTGTAAAGCATGCACGCCAACATGGCACAGCAGTAACTTCCAAGGAAAGAGTATGCCTGGGCGGTGCTGGTAAATGGGAGGTGGGGAGGGAGCAGCCACTATCTGCAGCACCTGCCAGTTCCCGTGGTGTAAACTCTGCCATGGCCAACGGCAGGCTGCCAATGTGCAGGAGCTGAACCCAGGGCGGGGAGGGATGTGCACACTGGCTGACAGTGAGCCAGCTCCAGCTCACTCTGGCCCTGCACTGGCTGTGTCCTTAAAGCAGCTCCCAGGGCTCTGGAAATTCAGATCTGCTTAATGCCAGCCTTTTCACCCTAAGATAAAGGATAAAGAGGGCACAAGGCTCCCTAGATTTGGGGACTCCACGCATTCAAAGCTGCTTTGTGCATAAATGGCATTAAAAAAATTACCTGTTGGAAATTAGCTTAGGGTCTTTAAAAAAATAAACAAACCGACTGACCCTCTTTGGTCCACCTCATTCTTGGGAACAAAAGGCCCGATTCTGAAGTGGAGAACCACAAGTCCCAAGGGACCATTCCCTCGGAGACCTGCCACTGCCCCCCAAGTCTCCCCTCCCCACTCCTTTCCCCGCCCCGGCCGCCCCTGCTACTGCAGCCATGCTCTGGCTCACTCGGACAATGCGCTGTTTGTTGTGAGGTCTGCCTGTGCTCTTTAAAAACACTCTCTCATGAAAAGGACCATACAATGAGCAAAACAGCAGGCGGAACGGGGTGGGGCAGGATGAAGAGAAAGAATGAACAAAAAGCACCAGCAACGCCCAGCAGGCACTTCCTGGGTCCCCTGTGTGTGCCGGGTTGGCCGAGTGGCTGCGCTCTGCCTGGGGGTGGCCTGGCACAGCCTCCCCTTCTCCAAGGCGAAGATGTGTCTTAGCAGACAAGGTGCTCTGATTTCCATTGTTACTGTAAAGAGCTCGGTGCTGATACAGTTGAGGGTAGGGCTCCCTGGCTTAACCAGTCTCAGCGGTGGCCGAACACACCCGCACCCACTGCCAGCACCGAGACTGGGCTCAGCCAGGGCAGGGTGTCACCTCTCAGTGTGTCAGTGGGCCTGCACCAGGTGCCCACCCCCCAAGAACCGAGCACGAGAGCTGCCAGGTGGGGCGAGGACAGGAGGACCGAGCCTGGGAGGCATCCTGCTGTGGACCCAGATGGCAGTGCGGCCTCGGAGCCGTTTCCAGCAGGGAACCATGTGCTGCTCTCTGCCCAGCACCTTCCTCTGCCTCCTGCCTCCTGAAGCAAGGGTGACACCCAGATCTGGCTGAAGTTCAAACTCATTCTGACTTCCTCCTTCCTCCAGCCCAAGAGAAACTGGAGTTCGAAGGCCCAGATTCAAGCAGCTGCAGAGCCGGGCTGAGGGAATGGCTGGGTGAGCTGGGCCTCCGATGTCATGAGCGTGAGCAACAAGAGTGAGCAGGGCCCGGGCAGGCTGCGGGCACCCGGCAGGGAGGGGTGAACTCTTCCCTGGCGCGGAGAGTGCCTGTGTGCACGTGACACAGAGACAAAGAATGCCCTTTGGCATTTTCCAGGAAAGCCTTTAGGAAAAACAGGGTGTGACAGTGTTGCCACAGCAACCCAACCACACTCGGGCTCAAATGGTACACAGTGTGGCAGGGGCAGGGAGAGCCCCTTCTGAGATGCTGGGTTAGAACAAGAGAATTCCTAGGAAGTAGCTGGCAAATGAAGGGATACATTCAGGAAACGAAATAAAAGGTTATCCCTTCGATTTCAGGAGCAACCTTTTAGCGGTTCATTCCTAGTCCCAGGGTGAATCAAAAGTAGATGACATCAAACCCACCTATTGGCTGTTTGCGTAGCCAGAGCCTCCATTTCCCCAGGAGACACATTGAGAAACATGCCCAGCACCGGGGGGGGGGGGGGGGGGGGGCGCGGCACCAGTGGGGAGCGGCAGCCACGTCTAGCTGCTCCTGGGTCTGTCAGGCGGCCACACTCAGGATCTGAGAAGCCTGCCCTCGGTGTGATTCACCCCCGTGCACACCCAAGTCATGAAACAGCGACAGCACCATAGCCGCCAGGTGCCAATCTGGCAGGAGCAGCCAGTCAGCTGGCTTAGTAATGAGGGAGGAAAGGATGCCTGGCGGGTACTGTGGGGCTGTGGGCAGGAGGCACTAGCTCACAAGTGTCATGAAGAACACCACCCAGGCACCACGGTGCCAGGCACGCCCGTGGGTATTGGTGGGCACCTGGAGGGGATGGAGAGTGTGTGCTCAAGCAGCTGGAAAGACCAGTAGGTCAGCTCCTTTGCTGTCATTTGCTCCATTAAACCTGGGGCTGTCTACACAGATGAAATGCTTTCACACCAGGGGAGCAACCCGAGTCCTCCATCCAGAGAATGGACGAAAGGAGGGGGAACAGGCACTGTGTTCGGCTGTGCCTCCTCAGTGAGAACGGGTAGCGGCAACCAAACAATGAGGCTCAGGGCTATGTCCTCTGCAGGTGAGTGGATTACAGAAACGGTGCAGACAACGAAACAATGAAAACAAACGAAAACAAGAAGGGACGTTGGGCGATGTCTAGAAACATTTCTAACTGTCACAGGTGGGCCGGGAGGAGGGCAGTGCTACCGCTATCTGGGCCATAGAGACCAGTGATGCTAACACACTGTCCGAGGCACAGGCCAGGCCCCCACAGCAAAGAGTTATCCAGCCCCCAAATGCCGCCAGTGCCGAGGCTGAGAAACCCTGACTTCTGTGACCTTCTGAATGAGGAAAACCACGGTGAAGGGAGGTCTCTGCCTGGCTGGCTGAGGGAGGGGCCAGGGGACGTTCTGGGGTCAGTGAGATGTTCTGTAGTCTGCGGTGGGCTCACCACTGCATCCCGTCAAAACGCACCCGACGGCGCACCTTAAACCGGTGACTCTTACTCCGGGCAAGTCACACCTCAACACCGCTATTTTCTAAAAGCGGCAGGAGAGAAAAAGTGAGAGTTGGTCGTGGACGTTGGAGCGGACATGACTGATGCCCACACACATTCCGCCGCCTGCCAGGCGTGAGCACTGCCAGTGGGACTGGAGGACAATGTGGCCGCGGGCTCCTGGGTGGGCTGCTCTCTGACCCCCCCCCCCCGCCCCCGTTTCTTGGTAATAAACAGCAAAGACAATGGGGCACAGGGAGGGGCTCCAGCCTGTCCTCACCAGGGACCACCCACTCGGGGAGGCCACGGGCGTCCTGGCAGGGGGTGTTCTTTCTCTGCCCACAAAGCCAACCAGTGCCCCTACAGCGCCATTTTCTAAAGAGCAAACCCTAAGGTCTGAGGAAAGGTCTGATTTTCACAGGATTTGAAGGACTCACACTCCATCAGAGAACTCAGGAATAAAGGGCCACTCAGAGCGGTCACGTTCCTACCCAATCCTTCCTCAGAAGACAAACGGAATAATTTTTAATTCTTTCAGGAGAAAACCAGAATGGGTCCTCACCTCCCACCCCCGGTGAAGGGACCCTGTCCAGGGAAAGGACAGGTGAAGGCGCAGCCGGAAGCAGTGTTTCCAGGCTGAGCCCTGGGCTCCCCAGGCTGCCTGGGGAGGGGGGCCAGCAGCCGGGGAGAAGGCACCCTGCTTTGTGAAGCGTCAGCAGGCAGAAAGGGGCTGCCACAGGGAGCGTCAACCCCTCGGTGAGGTTTGCTGGCTCTGGGAGAGCAGCTGCAAAGTCCAGGCCATGATGGAGTTGAGGGGCTTCTAAGAGGATGAGGAGGCTGGGGTTTAACAGACCTGGATGCCATTTTCCAGAAATGTAACTGCCCTGCCCTCAAGTCACAAAGGATCCTGGACTCCAGGACTGTGAGGCATGCTCTCCCCCAGGGACAGAGCAAAGTGCCAGCAGAGGCCACATATCTGCTCCTTGAGCACATGAATATGCCAGCAGAGGGCGAGAAGGGGGTACAGGGACGGAGGACAGGTCCAGGGCAAAAGGGGACTGAGCTCCCAGCTCCATGGGGCTCTGAGTCCCCCCTACAGCACTGCTGGAGCCAGTGAAATCACATGACTATGATTTCCAAAGAAGAATTGTTTGTGGGTGTCTTACCCGGACATCTTAGGAAATGCCAAAGGCCCTGAGAGAGAGAAGGGGAGACAAGGATCACAGCAGAGGAGCCATGCCCGCAGGCCCTGGCAAGGCTCAGAAATATGCCCGAGGCCCCCTGGGAACTTACCAACTAATTCCTGTGGGTCCCGCTTTTCTACTTCTGGGTTATCCTGCAAAGACAAACAGAAACACAAGGCGGTAAGCCTGGCTCCTGACCCCCGGCTGCTTTACGCAGAGACCACTCAGGATAATCGAGGAAGGAAAAAGGTGAAGGCATCTAAGAGCGAGCGATGCTTGGGGGAGGGGTTTTGGGGATCCCTGACCCCCCTTCTTCCTTCATCAGAGCAGCTGTGATGCTCCAGTCACCCACGTCAGTCTCTCCTCACAGCCTCCAGCAGCACCAATACCATCACCACGGAGAACAAACGCCAGCCAGTGCCACCCGCACACCAGGACCCTCCCGATGCCGTCCCCTGGCCAGTCACCCAGGACACCGCCGCCCCAACCTGGGACTGAGGAAGCAAGAGGGGGCTACTTTATAACATGAAATACCAACACTAAACACAAAAGACTATCTACTCCAAAGAGATCTTCTAACTTTTAGTTTAAGCAAAAAAAGGGAGACTTCATCACAGGGGGCAGCCCATGGAACCGGAGCGGAGCAGGCACGGAGCGGCCTTTGACCAGTGACCGAACCAGAGGGGCTTCTCCTGGCTCTCCCCTGCTCACCTGCTGGCTCTCCCCTGCTCCCCTGCTGGCTCTCCCCTGCTCCCCTGCTGGCTCCCCCCTCCTCACCTGCTGGCTCTCTCCCGTCGGCTTTCCATTCCCTCTAAAGAAAAGGTCTCTCTGATCTTAATGCAAACCACTGCCCCACACCTACTTCCACGGTCCTTTGTTCGAGGCGTGTGCAGAGCCCTAAGAGCACAGGTTTCTGAGCAGACCTCCTGGCCTTGCTGTGCATTTCCCGCCACGTAAAGGCTTCGCCTCACCTGGGTCTACCTGGAGAAGGAAGGGCCCAGCCTCCTCACAGGCCCAGCCCCGGGGAGGGAGGCCTTCCCTTGCTTGCGCTGTCCCAAATGTCCATCACCAGGACCCCGCATCTCTCCATTTCTGGGGAAACTTAGCCCCTTGAACACAGATCAGGGGGCGAAAGTGCCACCACACGCTAAAGTGGCAGAAGCTGGGCTCCCAGGAAGTTGTGGGCCCCATTTGCTTTCGCTCTGGTCGGTGAGGGAGGAGCTCAGACAGGAAGGGCTCTGGCAAGGCTGGTCCGTGGAAACAGCTGCAGAGCTCTGCACTCCACTCACGAGGAAACCTTACACCCAGATCCCGTGTCAGAAAGGGGGGTGCGGGAAGGCCACCTCACCTCCCACGCCATGGTCCACGCTAAGGCCAGAGTAGAAGACCTCAGTCCCTTCCCCCAAAGTCCCTACTGATTGTGGGACAGCCCCCCCCCCCACACACACACCCACCCACTCTCCTGAACAATGCAGCTGTTCACTGGACCGGCACCATGTCCAGGCCAGGCTGCTTAGCAACCTGTTTCTCTACCTCTCACCCCTGCCAAGCAGGTGGGCACAGAGGAAGCTGGCCTGTGCTGGGACCGAGCGGGTCGGAGGTGCACCTGGAGGACGGCCACGCCAAATCCAGGCTGGTCACCAACCAGCTGCTCCACAACAACCCCTCTGTGGCAGGGACTCTGGGGCAACAAATGCTAGAGAGCGTGGCAGTAACAAAATGGGGGAAAGGCCCTTAAATTTCCCTGCAGGGACAGCCTTCGGGTGCTAATTGTGGGAACATCAGTTGGGTGCATCCTAGCTAACCATTCAAAGGCCACCCCGGGGCTCTTTCCAAAGCCCCAAATGCAGAGCCAGGAAGGAGGCAAGCTGTCCACGTTGGGATTCTAGGTGTCTGCTCCAGGGACACAGGAAGTCAGTTCCCAAACAAGCGCGTCTCTTCAAAGGGGATCTACTCTGGAGGCTGCCTGGGCAGGTGCAAGGCCCCGAGCCTCCCTGTGGCTTCTTGTAGGTCTGCGATCCTGAGCAACAGGGAGGCGGAGGGCTGGGAAGCCTGCATTTCACAAGGTCCTTGCCTGGCCGAGCTGAGGTGGCTTTGTCTTTCCTTTTGTGGCTTGGCTCCTCATCCCCCCAAATCAATCATTCTACTCCCACAAAATAAAAACAGCTGGTTTCAATTTGCCAACTAGTCTAGTCTTTATTTTTACCCTCACAAAATGTTCGTGTGCAAACACACACACACACACACACACACACACACACACACACACACACACGACGCGTGCCCTGAGTGTACCCTGAGTCACATGGACTCTTAATCACAACCCAAAGTCCCCAGGAACAAGTCCCACCCCAAGTTCTCCGCAGTGGGATCCAGCTCCACGGTCACTCCAAGCATAGGGCCGACCAGTGGGCGTGGACCCAATGCCAAGTGCGAGAAGACTGTCCTGCCTTAAGAGAACTCTGCCGGCCAAACGTGTAAATGAGCCTCCACAGGTGAGAAGCCACAATCCCGCACAACGGTCTCCTGAAAAGACTGGGAATCTCTGGTTGTGCAGATTCCCCTGTGTCACAGGCACCCGTGGGACTTCTAAGGCCCTAGGAGTCAAGCAATGGGAACCTGTGCCCGCCGGTGGCCACACCTTGTCCTGTTTAGAAGGTAATTCTTCCCCCTCTGACACGAACACGCTGGGTGGTGAGCTCCTGGCACGTGTCACTGTACCAACGTGTCCCTGAACAAGGACACCAGCAGCCCGAGTTCTTTTGGACCCTAATGCTGCTTAACCCCACACCCTGCCCTGAGCACGAGGAAAAAGCTTGATTATGCCCCACAGCCAGGGGCCTGCAGCCCATCAGCATGAATCTTCCCCCAGCTGGGAGGTGGGAGCTGGGTCCAGGCCTTCGAGCAACGAGGAAGGAGTCACAGTGTCTGGTGAGACCAGTGAGGACAGGTGTCAAATACCCAAAACATGCGCATTAGAACCATTTACGCACCACTGGCCTCTGAGGTCAGTTTCATCCAACAAAAGCAGCCTCCGGGGAGGACGGGACTTGGGGGTGGGGTGAGGGTGTGCACACGCTAGATGAAGACTCGGAGAGACAGCCTCTTCCCAGTCGCGGCCTAGTCACGTACCAGGAATTCAGTACAAAAGCAGCAGCAAGCGCCCACGAGAGCGCTCTTGGAAGCCAGCCTCGGTGTCAGAACAAACATTAGACAAAGTGTTTAAAAGGACAGACAAAAGGTTCCCGCTGTCCAACTGTCGATGGTTCAAGAAACCGGTCTGACCAAAGCTGCAGCCAGGCGATTCTCTCTGCGCCCTCACACAGGCAGGAAGGGAGCAGCGAGGGGTACAAGTGAAGGGCAACCAGAAACCACTGTTCCTTCTCTTCCTCTTCCCTAAGGCAGGGTTTCGCAATGCACGGGGCCACCTGTCTTGACTTGTACGCGCAGGGACACCCGCCTGGGCTGGATGAGTGCACCTCTCTGGCCCGCAGGGAGGGCCTGCAGCTGGTCAAAGTCTGAATGCCGCCTGGAGACCTATCACAACAGAGTGTCTGCGTCAGCGGGGGGATGGGCCGAGACCTGGACAGACCTGGACACCGAGCCACGCCCTTCAGACACAGGGCTTTCCCAGTTCCCGAGGAAGGTGCAAACAAAGCACCTCACCTGCAGCTCCTGGAGAAAGACAGGTAAACAGTGTCAGCTACAGTTCAAGTCCAACTCAGACACCAGGGAAAACAAAACAAAGCCCACAGCTTCCTAAGAAGCCAAGAGGGACAAGGAGCAAGAGCACTGAACCGCTGGAGAGACCAAACTCGGAGGCAGACCCCTCGTCTGTCCGCCCGCCAGCCTCCCCAGGCTTCCCCTGAGCGGAGCCCACAGGCTGGAGGCTGCGAGGCCGGCCGGCCGTCCCTGGTCCCTGGAGAGCAGGGATTCGAACCTGCTAGACTCTGGTTCTCAATCAATCGTGTCTGAGACTTGTAAGAACGCAATAATCCCAGCAGGGGCCTCATGTTCAGGAATGACAGAACCTGGACTTGGTCGCCCGGCAGAGAATTCGAAAGTCCAGCGACCACCGAGGCTAAAGCAGAAGACGGGGCGGAAACGACATGACCCATGAAGCGGCCAGGCTGCCTGCCGCACGAGCTGCGAGGACGGACTCGAGGATGGGCTCGCAGGGAAGGACCAGCAGAGGGAGGGAGGGCTATTTGCAGCCAGTGATTCACCAGGCCTTCCTGGAACTGCCCCACAAAGCACACTCAAAGGTCCAGGGTCCAACTCAGACAAAGCCACCGCCTCCGGCAGCTCCACTGGGTTCTGCCAAGCCTAGCTCCTCAGCCTGGGGAGCCTGAGGCACAGAGAGGTGCTCAGAATGCCACAGACGCATGTTCTGCGGGATGATGTCATCAGCGTCTCCCAAGCAGGCGGCAGCTGGAGGGAGATTGGTAAACAACGCCTTCCAAACCTTATGTGCTCAGACCTGGGGCTGCCCAAGAAAGTCCCAAGAATACCTCACTTCAGGAGCAGAGCAGCTACTTATAAGCCATCCTTTTTTTAAAAAAAATTTTTTAATTGATTTTTTACAGAGAGGAAGGGAGAGGGATAGAGTTAGAAACATCGATGAGAGAGAAACATCGATCAGCTGCCTCCTGCACACCCCCCACTGGGGATGTGCCCGCAACCAAGGTACATGCCCTTGACCGGAATTGAACCTGGGACCCTTCAGTCCGCAGGCCAGTGCTCTATCCACTGAACCAAACCCGTCAGGATATAAACCATCCTTTATCCTCGCTGGGGCCCAGGCCCTGGGGGACTTCCTGCGACCACTGCAGCCTCCTCCTCCGGCAGGGTGCTAGCGGGGCCCAGCAAAGCCTGCTCCCTGGAACGTCTCCCCTCCGCCTCCTCCTAGTAAGCCCACTCAGGCTTCAGAACTCGGTTCAAGGAAGCCTTCTTCCCCACCCGACCCCGCCAATGAGGACACTGCCCCACCCTGCACTGTCTTTATCACCATGGTGTCCCCAGCACCTGCAGTCAGTGCCCTGCCCACAGCAGGTGCTCGAACACTGACCCATCCCCGCCCCGCCAAAGGCGCACACACTCAAACACATACACACAGCGCTCTCCGTTCTAGCCAGCCAATGGCCAGATTTTC